GTACCCAGGCAGCAGGGGCTCAGAAAAGCACAGTCCAGACAGTGCGTGCTCTGTGGATTACAGCAGCAGCCGGCTTTCCAGCCCTGAACACCCTAATGAAGGTAAGGCTGCACCATGAGGAAGGGACAATAGGATGAAGCAGGGGAGGCAGACTTGTGACTGACAAGTACAATGTGATGCTTTTTCCCTCCCCCACATCCAGACTCTGAGAGTACAGAGCCCTTAAGTGTGGATGGCATCTCCTCAGACCTGGAAGAGCCAGCCGAGGGTGATGAAGAGGAAGAAGAAGAGGGAGGCACTGGCCTCTGTGGGCTACAGGAAGGCAGCCCTCATACACCAGATCAAGAGCAGTTTCTAAAACAGCACTTTGAGACTCTGGCCAACGGGGCTGCCCCAGGTGTGGTCAGTGGGCCAGCTGTAGTTGCTACATCTGCCCTTCTTCCCTCCGTGCCTAGTTGAGAGGGAGGGTCCAGTAGTCAGTGCCTTAGGTTTCTTTGTAGGTGAGGCAAGACCTTGGCAAAGAACTAAACTTCTGATTCAGTTCATGACTTCTGTGCCTCCTGCAGGGGGTCCAGCACGGGTCCTAGAGAGGACAGAGTCTCGGAGTATCTCATCACGATTCCTCCTGCAAGTGCAGACCTCCCCACTCAGGTACAGACCGTCCCCCACATGGCTCTGCTGATCTGGTGCTTCTGCACCTGGCATAGCATGTAGCCTTCTTCACGTCTCTCCAGAAGGGGACTTTGTACTCCTAGGTTTGAAACAGGTGGTCTCACCCAAACCCTGTCTTGCTTTGTGCTTGCCCTCTCCTGGTGCATCTCTGTCTATGAGAGCATCTGGCCATCTGAGAGGGAGGAAGGCACTGAGCCTTCTCTGGGCCTTCTTCTGAACCCATTCTCCCTGTAGGGAACCATCTCTATCCTCCTCAGGCATGGCCCTGATGTCCAGACCTGACCAGGTATCACAGGTATCTGGTGAGCAGCTGAAAGGCAGTGGTGCCACTCCCCCAGGAGCACCCCCAGAAATGGAACCCTCTTCTGGCAACTCCGGCCCCAAGCAGGTGGCTCCTGTGCTGTTGCCACGACGGCGTAACAACCTGGACAACAGCTGGGCTTCCAAGAAAATGGCTGCAACCCGGCCTATAGCTGGACTCCAGAAAGCCCAGTCTGTGAATAGTTTGGTACCACAAGGTAAGGAACCTGGTGGACTCAACTACAGGCTGTGGGGAATGTGAGACGTGTATGTGGGCATGCTGGAGGAAGGTGGGCCTAGTGTGGCTCTGGCATGTCATCATGCTTGCCACTACATATCCCTTAGGGATCATGCACAGGGGGAGAGTAGCAACTGGGAACTGAGCCCTAGCATTTGCATAACTTCCTCACCACCTGACCTGCATCTGTTCCTCTCTCCGATGCAGACGAGGTACCTCCATCACGTCCACTGCTTGTCCGGGAGGCAGAGATCCAGGGCAGCTTAGAATCCCTGCCACAAGCTGACATCTGCCCATCTCAGGCTCACTCCTACCAGAACCCTACCACCAGTTCTATGGCCAAGCTAGCTCGTAGCATTTCTGTTGGTGAGAATCCAGGCCTGGCAGCTGAACCTCGAGCTCCTGCATCGATCCGAATCTCACCACTCAACAAACTAGCTCTGCCTAGCCGGGCTCACCTTGTCCTGGACATCCCCAAATCACTTCCTGACCGTCCTACTCTGACCACATTTTCACCTGTATCCAAGGGCCTGGCCCACAATGAACCAGAACAGTCGGGCCCCTTGGTGAGCCTAGCAAAGGCTCATACTACAGTTGAAAAGCACTCCTGTTTAGGGGAGGGTACTACTCATAAATCTAGGACAGAGTGCCAGGCTCATCCTAGCCCCAACCACCCCTGTGCCCAGCAACTGCCAGTCAGCAACCTTCTCCAAGGCCCTGAGAAGACTCGTAACCCTGTGGAAAGCAGCAGGCCAGGGGCAGCCCTGAGCCAGGACTCAGGTGTGCATGGCTCCCCAGTCTCATCTTGGCCCATCCTTTCTGTCTCTGTTGGCCACTTTCTGGCTCCATCCATCCCATTTCTGTGTGCCTAACCTTGGACGTTTTTGTCCTGTCTGCCCCTGTCTTGATCCATAAGTCACACCCCTGATGGTGAGACACTCTTGCCACCCTTCATGATCTCCCCGTGACCCAGTGAACCCACCCTTTAGTGTGTTCTAGATACTAGGGCTGGCTCTGGGGCTAGAGGTAGGGCTGGCTTTTCCTTCTAAACTTTGTGTGGTATTGGGGAAGGTATTAGGAGGCAGTGGGGCAAGAGGCAGGGATTTGGGGCTGGTAGAGATTATAGCTCTTCTCTAAGAGTCGTGGGTTGGGATGCCTGAAAAAGCAGCTGGGCCTTACTGGTGTTTGTCCTTCAGAACTGGCCTTGAGCCTGCAACAATGTGAACAGCTTGTGGCAGAACTCCAGGGGAATGTCCGCCAGGCAGTGCGGCTCTACCACTTGGTGAGTATTGAGAGTTGTTGGGAAAAGTTGTCAGGAAGTAGATGGTTCTTGTAGTCTGGAGGGATCCTCATCTGGGTCACCCATCAGAGTGACTCTGATCATCCTGATCTTGTGTATAGAACTCCTAGACAGTCCCTTCTACTGGTCAGGTTAGGCGCTGGTAGAGCCCCCTTCTCTGTATTCTACTCTACTGTTCTCCAGCTCACTCTCAGTGTTCCTGTTGCAGGTGACCAGCTGTAAGACACCTTCAGCAGAGCAAAGTCACATCACTCGTCTCCTGAGAGACACCTTCTCTTCAGTGCGGCAGGAGCTAGAGGCTCTGGCTGGGGCTGTGCTGTCCAGCCCAGGTGGCAGCCCTGGGGCTGTGGGGGCTGAGCAAACTCAGGCCCTGTTGGAGCAGTACTCAGAGCTATTGCTTCGAGCTGTGGAGCGGCGTATGGAGCGCAGACTCTGAGTTCCTGAAGCCTGTCCCAAGAGAAATGGTCTCCATTCCAACTGTAGCCCTGTTTCCACTCAAGAAAATGTGAGACTGTCTGGAGTGGATAGCAGCGATCAGTGTTCCGAGGGAAAGCAGCTCTCCCAGCCGCCCTCATGGGGCCCCTGTATTTATTAATTTATTTCCCTGACTGTTGCCTCACTTCCTTGGGACTCCTGCCTCTAAAGCCCAGCCTGGGGCTCCATAGCAGGGCAGGTCTTGAGTCTGTGTCATCTTGGTGCTGTGAGGGGTAGGAGGGCAGCCTGCCTCACCTGGGGACATTAGGAAGGGCTGGCCTTCTCTTCTTAGAAGCCATTTGAAATTACTTCAGGGATGAGCTCCCTGGGGTGGAGCATACACAGGGTACTCTGGAGTAGAGATGAAAGGTAATGTGGTATTTAGTAGCCTAAAGCCAACTGTAGACCTTTTACCTCTACTCCCACACCAGCGGCACTCCCCTGTCTGCCAGAGCAGGGCTGGTTTCCCCCCAACTCCTGGCAGTGAGAAAGACAGCTGCCTGGCCTCCAGGATATTCCTAACCATCAGAAGACTTGAGTGGGTATCAGGACCTGAGCCCCCACATTCCAACCCCATTTTCCCTGCAAGAGAGCCCTAGCATTTTTCTGTCCCATCCCTTTTTTCCCATGTGGAGCTAGTTGTGGGATTTTGCTGCAGGACAGTAAAGCCCCTCTGCTGGACAAACAAAGCCTAAGTTCCTTAGCCCCTTAGACCTCCTTGTTCTCTAACCCTGGTCTCCAGCGGACTGTTGAATCCCTGGGGACAACTTTTTCCCTACATCCTGGGCAATGCGCAATCAGAAACCTATATTGGGATTGGGAGTACCTTCATGGTTTACAGGGCACTGGCCCACCTTCCTAGAACCTTGGACACACACACACACACACACACACACCATATACACAGTTGAGTGCTCATGGTTAGAACACTTGCCTGGCTGGTATGCACCTGGTTTCCTCACATTTTTGCCTCAGCTTCACTAGCTTGTGTTAATTGGAACCCAGAAACATAAAAAGGAATGGATACACTAAACTAAAATTCTGAAGTCTTGGTGTCTACAGCCAGGCTGACAGGAGATGGCCCATGGGAGCACCTGGCTCATGGAGGAGGCTCTTTTTCAAAGGCAGTGCTGGGTGCCCAGAGATACTGGATACTGGAGATTGTGGAGTGGAGGTTCTGGGCAAGAGACACACTGGGAAAGTGATAGCCAGACAGGTAGGTGGCAGAGGTAGGGATAGGGTTAAGATAATTGTTAGAGGGTAAAGAAAAGAGAGAGAGGCTGTGGGTAGGAACATGTCGTGAGGTGGTTGGAAAATTGGAAAGAGTATATTTTTGGGCTCTCCTTTCCTCTGCATCAGGTAAGGCGGAGTGACCTTTCACCAGGTTTAGACTACAAAAACCTGTGGAAACCTCGAAGCCACTTCCAAGCTCTGAATGCAAAGGCTAGAAGGAAACTAGGTTTTAATGGGTGCTTAGTTTTGTTGGGTCAGCCTGAGTGTTGAGTACACTCAATCCATGTGTTCCCATTTTTCTACCACCCGCATATCCAAATTCCTATCCCAAAGAACCATAGCAGCTGGAGGTGGGCCTGTGGCGGTCTGAGGATTAGAAGTCAGCCCACTGTCCTGACCTCCACCAGGTTTTAGAGGTCTTTATGCCAGCCTGCCCTTCTAGAGGGAGCGCCAACTACCCTGCATGGGTAGGCTCTTGTGGCCAGTGGCGCTTTGTGCACTTCTGCATGTCTGAGGCCACTGGCAACTGCTGCCCACGTCCAGATTTGTCCCATCCCAGTTTTGAAAGCCCCTTATTTATAACTTTTATACTGTGGAGCCTGTCTCCTCCCCGGCTGCACGGGGTGGGGCTGTTTTAACGTTTCGTTTGTACGAATGTATGAAATTGTCAATAAACACAATCATTTGTTAACTGGCTAGCAAACACTGAAAAGAGCGCCGCTTGTCGCACCTCCTAGAGGGCGGAAACGGGGGCGGGACTGTGGGCCTGGAGCGGAAATAGGGGCGGGTTCTTTTCCCGAGGGCGTCATGGCGGAGGCGGCTCTGGAGGCAGTGCGGAGGGTGTTGCAAGAGTTCCCGGCGGAGGCTCGCGGTGAGTGGACTCTCATAGGCAGCAGCGACCGCGCGAGGACAGCGCGGACAGAGCCTGGGGCGCTGGGAACTCAGATTATGTGTGCATGGGTGCTCGATCGGTGGCCACACATTTTCGTGTGTACCCTTCTCTAGCTGCCGGACGAGTCCTCAGCTCACGATCGCACGCCTTGCTGCCTTCGTGGGGTGCAGTTGTAGTTTTCAAGACCCCGCACAACTCCGACGGTAGTCATAGTGCCATTCCCAAAGCCAGCGGGGTGCTGAGTCCCTGTCCTCTGCATTGCTGTACTTTCGGTACCGGAAGACTCTCACCTCAAATATCTCGGATGCTGATGGGTTCTGAGGAGAGGCAATCGACTTCCCTCGTTCATTCAGACTCCAAGATTTGAGGATTGTAGGCAGCCGCCCAATTGATCTTGGCTCTTCCTCTACTATGTGTTACGTTTCTTCTCCCTCTGCTCCTCACTACCTCATCATTAAACAAGCTGGAGAGATGACTCAGTCGGTAGGTAAAGTGTTTAAGCACATGATAACCTGAGTTCAGATCCCCAGCACCAACGTAAAACACTGGGTGTGGTGATGGTGGATGTCTGATGGAGTTTCCAGAGGTGGAAGGTAAAGACAGGAGGACCCCAGGGGCTCCCTGGCCAGCTAGCCTAGCCTGCTGAACTCCAGGTTCAGTGACTTTGTCTCAGAAAATAAAGTGGAGAATGAGACACCTGATGTCAATGGCCTCTACACTTACATGCACAGGCACAGACCACACATGCTCGTGCGCGCACACACAGAGAGCACGTGATCAAGCACAATTTTGTCAATTTACCAGCTTTGTCACATAGAAGGGGTTAGAGCAGTGATTCTCAACCTATGGAGTCGAGACCCTAGATGAGTCGCACGTCAGATATCCTGAACATCAGACGTTTATGTTGTGATTCATAACTAGTAAAATTACATTTATGAAGTAGCAACGAAATAATGTTATGGCCTAGGGTCACTGCAACATGAGGAACTGTATTAAAGTGCATTAGGAAGCACTGTGTTAGAGGATGGTTGCAGGCTCAGTGGAGCCCTCGGAGGAGGGGGTGCCTGCTGGGCACAGGAAGCAGTGAGGCCTGAGCTTGGAGCAGACTTTGTGTTCATGTTTATTTTTGTCAGTTAAATTCTTAACAGAATTGCTGGGTCAAAGGAATTGTTTGGAGTTCATTTCGAAGCTTCAGGGGGAAAAAAACCCATCCTCTGTAGGAAATGGTGAGCAAATAAAACTGGCATAATTACAGAAATTTCAAAGGATAGAAAAGGGCAGTGTCAGGCCAGCACTCGGGAGGCAGAAGCAGGAAGATCTCTGTGGTTTCCAGGCCAGCCTGGTCTACAGAGGGAGTTCCAGGACAGCCAGGGCTACACAGAGAAACCCTGTCTCAGAAAACCAAACCAACCAAACAAAAGGCTATCTCTACACATTTTTAACTCCAGGGTAGAGCATGTAGGAGGCCCGGGTCCAATCTCAAGCATTACAAAACAGTCAGATCCCAAAGAGCAACTCAGTTGTCTGAGCCCTAGTTCCCTTCTAAGATTTCTACTTTGTGGAGTTGCTGTTCTTCCTTTCTATGTCTGCTTGTTAATTCTTACAATTCAAGGTAGCAAGCATGTGACTAGCTGTTTTCTTCGCAGTTTTCCTGGACCTACCAATGACATCCCATGTGGTTCCAATTTCTAATTTTAAGATATTCACTTTCTGACTGGCAGTAAGGCAGGAGAGTCAGCATGGAGATGTAACTTGGCTATCGTGACTTCAGAGATAAAATGAATGCCATATACTTTTGTCAGGGGTTGCAGTAACTGCTGGTTAGGGCCAAAGCATCTTAGTCAGACATTAAGGTTGAAAACTAACAAAGCAAAGCACTGCTCTTGTAAAAGCCGAGAGAGTGAGCAGCGGGAGTAGCCCAGCCAGAGTAGAGGGCATGTGGTCAGGGTTAGGCATCAGACCGGAGCAAAGCAGACTGGGAAAAAGAGAAGGGCTAGGCTTGGTCTTGGGGCATCCTGAATGCATGCCAAGATGGACAGAGTTCTGCCAGGGGCAACAGTGAACTATAAAAGGGTCCTTCACGTGGAGCCGGCCCGGGGCCTTTGGCAGCCAGCGGGACGGTGGGGCCTCCGGTTGGCTCGAGACCCCCAGAGGCAGGGTTGGCGGCATCAGGCGAAGAGGGAGAGCGCAGCTGTGAGCTGGGGCACAGCACACTTTTCAGTTGCTCGGAGCAGGACCTCTGTCCCAGCCTCCAAATTCGAGAGAGTGTTACTTGCTCTTTCAGTTCCCTCTTTCTGGAGGCAGCTCGTGAGAGCCCACGGAAGAAAAGTGTTACAGCTCTCTCAGTTGGCTCTGCCCGCAGGAAGGACAGGAGAGTTGTCCTTTGAAATGCGTAGGATAGTAAGGATCGAATTGCTAAAGCACTCCAACAGCGGGAGGTCTCACACCACACAGCACCTTTTACTTTGAGCTCTGGGGATATATATACAGTTTTGGGGGGGAGAACAGATAACTTCTGTTGGTTTGGTTTGAGGGCTTGGGGATGCCTTATTTGCATGGAGGTGTTATTCCTATGTGATAAAGGCCATGGACCTCTCTGTGGGAGGGGGCCTTGGGGAGCGGAAGCTAAGAGGGCCATTGGCTCTGGGAAAGTTCGAAGCAGCCTGCCGTTCTACAGGTCTTCTTCAGACCAAGGTTCCCGGGGTTTCAAGTCTTTCTACCAAGCTTTCTGGCTTTTCTCATAGCCCACTGCCCCACAACCAGCCAGCCAGAATGGGGGCAATTTCATTTGACTTTGAGCACCTACTGTGTGCTAATGTGCTGTTGTAGAGATGCTCCAGGAAACGTGACAATCCATCAAGCCATTGTGGTGTTTCTAGTCTGCTGAGACAGACCAATAAAGAAACAGATGGAAAAAAATATACAGGGTCAGGTAATGATAAATCTGTGGAGAAAAACTAAATAGGCAAGGAGATAAGGGTTGTTTCTAACAAGTGACAGTTTTAAATGGTCAGGAAAGGAAGCTTCATCAGTGTGACATTGGACCCAAAGCCCCAGAGGGAAGGAAAGGGTGGTTTTGAGAGACAAAGGGTAGAATCAATAGGACTTAGAGACACCCAGGCCCAGGACAGATTGGGATAGGATAAAGCACCACACACACACACACACACACACACACACACAGGATGGCCTTGAACTTGCTATGTAGCCGAGAGTGGGCTTGAACTGATGCTACTGATGACCTCCCAGGTCATGGGTTTACAGATGTGAGCTACCATATCAGTTTAAGGGCTACACAGAGTCACTTAATGCCTCCATGGGTGGCACAGTACTGAAGTGTTGGCCTAGGTGGCTAAGGGTACTGCTGCTGTTCTTGAGACCAGAGCTCACTTCAGCCCCTACCTGTCTTCTAGTATTGTCACTGAGCAGTCATCTCCCCGGGGAATAGATAAGCCATAAAGTTGATGAGGTGGTGAGGTTGTCGTCTCAGCCACACTGGCCAGGCCCAGTGCAGGGTCCATCTGAGATGTTCAGTGAATATCACTATTGAAGGGTGTCTTAGGATGTTACTGCTGTGAACAGACACCATGACCACCACAGCCCTTATAAAGGAAAACATTTCATTGGGCCTGGCTTACAGTTTCAGAAGTTTAGTCCATTATCATCGTGGTGGGAATAGTGGCAGCCTAGAGATGGAGCTGAGAGTTCTACATCTGGATCCACAAGAAGAGACTGTGTCACATGGGCCAGACTTGAGCTTGTAAAACATCAAAGTCCACCCCTAGTGACATACTTCCTCCAACAAGGCCACAACTCCTAATAGCACTACTCCCTATTGGCCAAGCATTCACACCCATGAATTGGTGGGGCCATACCTATTTAAACTAACTGGTGGGAGGAAAGGGTCATCCCAGAGCCAGACCCACCCCAGCTAGCCTGTGACCACCGGCTCAGGGGTGCAGGCCTCCTAGGTCAGCAGCAGCCTTGCTTAGGATGTCCATCGTAGAGGGTTTCTTGTTGCAGACTGTGTGATGGAAGTTGAGTACCACTGATTTCCAGCCTCCTCCCCCACCATTTCTTTCTTAAGACCTCAACGTACCTTGTGTTGTGCCCTACCTGGATGACCCTCCAACCCCACTCTGCTTCTACCGGGATTGGGTATGCCCCAACAGGCCCTGCATTATCCGAAATGCTCTGCAGCACTGGCCAGCCCTCCACAAGTGGTCCCCCTCCTACTTAAGGTAAGGTGTTCCTTGGGAGGTGGGGTGGACCAGTGACCATTAGCAGCAGACTACAAGGATCCATTTCTTCAGAGCCATGGTGGGTTCCACGGAGGTGAGTGTGGCTGTGACTCCAGATGGCTATGCGGATGCTGTGCGAGGGGACCGCTTTGTGATGCCTGCTGAATGCCGCCTGCCCATAAGCCATGTACTGGATGTGTTGGAGGGTCAGGCCCAGCACCCAGGAGTTCTCTATGTGCAGAAACAGTGTTCCAACCTGCCCACTGAGCTGCCCCAGCTTCTGTCTGACATTGAGTCCCATGTGCCCTGGGCCTCTGAGTCACTGGGTGAGTGGAGGGGGTAAGAGACAGGGCATGGGGGTGAAGAGGGGAGATAGGGTTTAGCTTGCTTGTTCACTCTTCTTCCTTTTGTGTTGGTTCTGTGGGGGCAGGTGCCACCTACTTGCCCACTCCAGGCAGAAACCCTGCAAGGGCTGCTGTCTCTGCCATCGGGGGATGTGACCCCAGTGTCACTTTCTCCTAGACTCCTTGGCATTCTTTGCCCCTGCCTACATTTCTGCATAGCTGCCCCACACATGGGTGGTTCTCAGCCTGGTACTAACTCACTGTGTCCCACAGGAAAGATGCCTGATGCTGTGAACTTCTGGATGGGTGACGCAGCTGCAGTGACATCCTGTAGGTGTGGCGACTCCTGAAGTAGGGAGGGGGCTGGAGGGACAGAAGGAAGAAAAGTGGGCCCCAGAATGAGTACCTCAGATTTCTTTTGGTATTGTGGGACTAGGACACCACAGAGTTTCTCCTGATGCTGGAACATTGGGGACAGGGAATACCGTACCTTTTTAAGTATCTAGAAGCCTCTTCAAAAGTCAGGTAGCTCAGAGAGCAGGGGTGAGGAGGCAAAGCCTGTTGGTGATCCAGATGAAGGAGCCCACGTCCAGTTTTTTGTGCCCAAGTCCTGTGATGCTTGCTAAAACCTTGGAGTCTCCTAAAGTCTGCTGATTCTGTGTGGGCTTTTCCTTTCTCTGTAGGCTCTGCTGGGGTGTGGGGCTGAGGACAGTGCGGCCTGCTTTCCTCGCCTTAACTCCAGGCCTTCCATGTGTCGGCAGTGCACAAGGACCATTATGAGAATCTGTACTGTGTAGTCTCTGGCGAGAAACACTTCCTGTTACATCCACCCAGCGACCGGCCCTTCATCCCTTACAGTAGGTGACATGAACTAAAAGAATCTGGTAGCCTCTGGCGAGGGAAGGGCAGCAAGAGGTCTCTGCCACAGGCCCCAGCCCTCTGGTCTCTGTGTACAGGGAACACTGTGCTGGCTCTGGTAGGGAGTACCTGACAGGCTGGTGGCCACTTGTTTCCCTGACCTTGCCTTCAGATCTCTACACACCAGCATCCTACCAGCTGACCGAAGAGGGCACTTTTAGGGTGGTGGACGAAGAAGCCATGGAGAAGGTGTCTATCCTGTTCTTGGGCTCTGGAGAGTGGGTCGACCTTTGGGAAGCAGGCACAAAGGGTCTGGGGAGGCGGCGTCCTACTCTGAAAATCCCTAGGCTGTGATTCTTCAAGCCAAGAGGAGAGGGGACAGAGCTAGAGATCTTGGGGGCTTCAGGGCCTGCTCCCAGGCAGCTGCTGTGTCTCTAGGTACCCTGGATCCCGCTGGACCCCTTGGCTCCAGACCTGGCCCGGTACCCCAGTTACAGCCAGGCACGGGCCCTGCACTGCACGGTACGGGCTGGCGAGCTGCTGTATCTGCCATCTCTGTGGTTCCACCACGTCCAGCAGTCCCATGGCTGTATTGCTGGTAAGGAGCACCTGGAGCATCCCAGGGGCAGGCCTTACCATGGCCCAACAAGGAATCTGGTTGGGGTGGCTCTGGCTTTTAGATCTCACATCCAGGTCCCTCTCCTCTCCACAGTGAATTTCTGGTATGACATGGAGTATGACCTCAAGTACAGTTACTTTCAACTGATGGAATCCCTCACTAGAGCCACAGGCCTTGACTGATGAGACCCTCACAGACACTGCAAAGGACAGTGGGGATTGAGTGGGTATTTGATTCTAAGAGGCAGCCTGGAGTTTGAATATGTCCTGGTTTCTACTCATCTTCCTGCCTGTGTTGCAATCAGGCATTGAAGGAACTTGGAATATAGTTGGAGGACCAGGAAATGCCAGGCAGATCTGGGTGAACGTGCTCAGGAAGTCGCCACACAGGTGACAAGCATGGATCAGGTACAGCAGTGCCTCTTACCAGTGCTGTGACCTTGGGTGAGTCACTGCATGTTAGCATCAGTCCCTTGCCTGTAAACTAGAGATAATAATGGCTCTGGCTCCCAGAGCTGTGGGAATAGCCATGGGCCAACGTAGAGGAAGCAGTCAATAAAAGTTGACACTGATACACTTGTTCTCATGTTCCCCGTCACAGTTGCCTTCGTGGCCTGCTGAGGGCTTGAAGGTTCAGGCAGAAGTTTCAAGATGACCCTAATTGGGATCCACATCTGGAATGCTACCCACAGCAGTTCTGTTATAACTGGCTGGGTGCGACTTGTTTGGTTCAGGGCCACCAGTGCTATCTGTAGCTTTGTCCCAGACTGTGTTTCCTCCCCCAGACCCAGGGAAATGGGTGGGTCTGGAGCACTGAGGGTGACCCCTGTTCTAAAAATATAAACAGGAAGGGACAGGAACCATGTTCCTTCTGAGCTGTTCTCTGAGGAAAGAGTTGATCTCCACGCCCAGACTCCTTTGTCACCCTGCAGGGAGAGCCCCTATCCCCGAATGCCAACCCATAGGCCTCATCCCTGGTCACCCAGCTCCAGGGGTGGAGGCAGCCTAGCCGTGGCTTTGAAGGGTTGTTTTATGTGAAAGCCACGCCTCTTCCAAATTATGATGGGGCCTGAGGTACTCTTCTGAGATTGCTCAGGGCTCCAGTTCAGACTGGGCATTCCTGTCGTACTGGCACTGGGAAGGAGGTTGCGAAAGGACCCATCAATGACATGATCCTCAGCCCCAGTGTTCACTGCTGTCTTGGGGGACCACTGTCTGCTGTTCTAGTCAACCTCTAACAGCCACAGGAGAACCCCCTCCTCTCAGTTAGGGCTGGTTGGCTAGCCCAGCTAGCAACAGCTGCCGAGAATGGACTTCAGGGAGCCTGTGGCCAACGCCAGGCGGTATCACTGACTCCAGCATTAGCTTAAGGTGTCTCACTTCCTGGGCAGGTGGCTTGGTCAGCAGTGGGCGTGGGGCTTGGGTGGAGCAGAGGTGTCTGTGGGAGGGATCCAAGAGTAATGTGTGGCCAGTTGGCTCACCTTGGCTCTGGGTTTAAAGCTGACAGTTGTTGGTCCTGTGGCTACTGCCCCATCATTCCTGTTCCTGTGGACTTGGTCTCATGGCTCTGGTAAGGCTCTATAGGGCACTGGGCTCCCGTTTCTAACTTGGCTCCCCATCCAGGGCCTGGTGGCAACTGTTTCTAAAGGGAGCTGCAGGCTGCTCTAAGCAAAGGGAGGGATGCTTCTCAGCTTCAGGACCAGAGTGGAGGCCAGAACTGGGATGCAGGTCTGTCCCGAGGATGGGTTCCAGGGAGAACTCCGTAGATTTGAACCCTTAGAACTCTGAGGATCTTATCTGTTGTTCTGGGAGCCCTAGAAAGAAGTAGCAGCTCTATGCTTCTGACTTGGTTGCTTGGCATGTGGGAGCCCCAGGGGTCCTCAGAGATGAGCTTCCTCAGCTCTGCTCCTGGACTTGACCACTGGCACCTTTCCAGAGATGTGGCTGAAGAACAAAAGGAAGGGCCAGGTGGCACAGGCACCCCCACCCGGGCACACTGGCAAGTGTCCACATCTCCAGTAGCAGAGGGAAGTTGGAAGGAGCTCTGGAGACCCCCATCAGAAATGGAGGATGCCCGTGTGTAGGTGGTCTGGGCTGGTAGCTGCCATCCCTACCCTGCAGAATCTATTTCCAGGATTGGGGTAAATGGCATGGATTTTAGCTCACTCGTGGTGCCTAAGCCCCAATGTATTCCTTCCTGTCCCCTGAAGGCTTATAGTCCCTGACATCTCAGATCAGCCCTAAAGCCTCTAGGTAGGAGTGGGGTGTGGTGAGGCAGGGGGATAAAAAGACATAAGGTACCATACCCAGAAATAGTGTGTGACACTAACAAACTAGCTTTCCTGTATTCTGAGCCAAACCAGGCCTCAAGAGAGTGCCTCAGTTTCCTCTCAGGGTTGGCCATTGTCATAGCTCCCTTCATAGGATATGTGACAAATAAGTGAATTATGCTGAGCCCTTGGTGTGGAGCTGGCACGGTGTTATATAATTATGGGAAGGTGTCCTGTAGACGCCGTATCTTGTGTCATTCCAGCATTCTAATGGGTACGGATAGACCTGGCCCTTTTGGTAGAGAATGAAGCCTTAAGAGTTTGTCCCAACCTCCCCTGTGGCCCTGTTACATTTGACCCCATCTACCTATGGCAAACCTGCCCCATCTATATGCAGGCAAAGGTGCCGGAGACATGCCTGCTCACTGTACGCATCCTCCAGGCCAATGGCTTGCCTTCCAAGGACCTAGGTAAGCACACTGCTTCCCTGGCCCTTGGGTAAGAAGACAGTAGGGTGGCTGCTTCAGAGTACCAGTGGGAGGATCTCCAGGGGAGGCTGGGCTGGCAGATGGCTGCTGGAGAGAAGATCCTGAAAGTGGCCGAGGGCTCAGCCTGAGGGAAAAGGAAGTGGACCCAGTGGCAGCCTGGGAAAGTCCTCCATCATACCAGACACGTGTTCCTCCTTCCTGCAGTCACATCCTCTGACTGCTATGTGACTCTGAACCTGCCCACGGCCTCCAGCCACACGCTCAAGACACGCACAGTCAAGAACAGCAGAAACCCTGTTTGGAATCAGAACTTCCACTTCCGGATCCATAGGCAGCTCAAGGTAGACCAGGCATCAAGTCTGGCCCTATCCTTGTCCCCGTGCTCGATTGTCATACATGTCTCCTGGTCTGCCATCCCCTGCCCCGGTCACCTCTTACCCATCCCATGTCTGTAGCTGCCTCCCCTTGTATCTCTTCCAGAATGTTATAGAACTGAAAGTCTTTGATCAGGACCTGATGACCAAAGATGACCCAGTATTGTCAGTGCTGTTGGACGTGGGGACTCTGCAGGTTGGGACTCAGCTCCAGAACTTCTCATTGAGCGCTCAGGTAAAGCTCAGGAAAGTAGGGGTCCCCAGCTCTGGGGATGGAGCTTTAGAGGCTCCCTGCTCCAGGGAGAGGCCCAGGAATCCCAGGTGACTTTTCACCAAGGAGCAATCCTGTCTCCAACTTCTTTCTCACTTGGTCAGAACCACAGCTTTCTGTGAGCAGTCTAAGGAATGTAGACAGAGTGACCTGGAAAGGAACAGTTGTCCCTCCCCACTCCTAAGGCCTCAGCAGCCTCCCTGCCCATCTGGTTTGCCAATCCCTCTGACTTGCTTCTCTTTCCAGGAGGATGGGCGCTTGGAAGTTGAGTTTCGGCTACAGCCTCTGTAAGTCGGTCTTGGGAGCAGGGGGGAGGTTAGTGAGTGGCAATGGAAAGCTCCCTTCGGGGAGGGGCAGGGCCAGCTCACCAAGGCTGCCACCCCTCCCTGGTAGAGGAGGAATGCAGAGAGTCACTGGGGCCTTTTTCCAGGACAGACCCTGAGGAACAGCTCATCAGCAATGGTATCCTGGTGGTGAGTGAGGAACCCAGGGCTCCCCTAGTAGCTCATGCATCATGCTGTCTGCTGTTCTCCTAGGCCTGGCGTAGGTCCACCACAGTCTGGGTTATGTAGGCCAAGTTGGGAGCCTTGGTATGCATGGTCCCCAAGAGAGTACATCTTAAGCAAATGCTTAGTGACTAAGGGTGATGAAAGAATATTCTGGGAATAGGGACCAGGAGCCCACAATGTACAGCCCCAGAGATGGGGTGTAGCTTGTGTCTAAGGGGATCTCTTGATCATAGGCCCGGGAGCTCTCCTGCTTGCATGTTGATTTGAAGAGGACAGGAGACCCAAAGAGTGAGTTCTGTCCTCCTTAGGTAGCCCTTCCATCCTTCTTCCTGTCTCTTCTCCTTTTCTGAAGGGGTAAGCTTGTTATACTGGCTTCTTTCAGGTCCCAAAGGTAGGACCAAAGGCTGGGAGGCAAGCTCATGCCGGGACTCCCCTGGGCTCCATCTCTCCATCTGGACCGTGTCAGAGACAGATGTCCCTGTAGACCTGCTAAGGCTTTCCATGGACAGATCCTGTCCTGAGTTTTGATTCTGGTTCCTGTTTTTAGGGTCAGAGCGCCAAGTTCAACTTGTGGTTGCTGGGGCCTGTGAGGGGCCACAGGATGCCTCTGCGGGCACTGGGTCTTTCCACTTCCATTATCCAGCCTGCTGGGAGCAAGATCTGAATGTTCATCTGCAGGTGGTGTGCCTTGTTCCTGGGACACTAGAACCACCGCCTCTCTTCTCTCAGCACCTCTCAGCCTGAGCTGTGCTGCCCCTCCCTGCCCCTTGCGCCTACGTCGGTCAGGTCATGTGGATTAGTTAGCCTTCGTTCCCTTCCCTACTGTTCTTCTGTCCCTGCCATAGGGAGTTGGTGGGGTCTTAGCAAAGAAAGGAGGAGTAATGACTCGAGGGGTCTTTGCCTGTTCCTAAGGATGACCCCCATGAGCAGCTGAAGGTGCCACTACAAACTCTACCCTCGTCGCAGCTGGTGAGACTCATCTTCCCCACATCCCAGGTGAGAAGCTAGGTTCATGTACAGGACTCCTGCTGGCCCTGGTCTGCAATCAACCTCCTTCAGGCCATGCCCGAGGCGATCAGTGGGTGTAAGGGTGGTGGACCCTGTGAAAGTGCTTGGGGCCCAAGGGTTCATGGGGATGTTCTGGGGTACATCAAGGCCACAGTGGGGTGGAGGTACCCAGCCTTTCTCATCATGGTATTCCTGGTTTCTAGGAGCCACTGATGAGGTTGGAACTCAAGAAAGAAGAAGGGTAAGAGTCTGTCTGGGGAATGGGAGAACAGGGGTAGCACTCAGGCAGTGTGGTCAGTCTGGCCAGGAGGATGACGGAGAGAGGGAGATGCAGCATCTCCTGGGTGCATGGGGCTTTGCATCTGGAGTAGGCTTCAGTGTGGACAGGCTGTTTTTAATGTCCCCACTTGGATTTGCTACAGTATGTGTGGGCCCTGCCCAGTATGCCATCCTGGGAAACTCGGGATCAGTATCTTGTCTAGATAAGCAGGCAGGGAAGTGGGGACAATGCCAGAGGCTGAAGCAGAGCAAGGACACCAAGAAGAAGGGGGGGCATGCCTCTTGGCATGGAGACTGTTGAGGAGTTGCCTCTTGGGAGAGTGGCTCTTCATCACAAACGTGAGGCAGTGCCTTCTCTGCCCTGTCATTTTTGGAGATGTGGGTGAGGGAAAGATCTGACTGGGAGATGGAGCTCAGCCCTGGAACCCAGATGCACTCAGTCCCAATGTCTGCTTTACCACAATCATGTGTGTGGGTGATTCTGGTTCTACTCCCCCAACTCCACAGCAAGTAGTGGCGAGGACTAAGAAGGGAATAGAGAAAGCAAGTGTCTGGCTGGTGAAACCAACCAACCAGTTTTTCTGTAACTGCTTCTGGGTCTCTTCCTTCTCCCCAGACCAAAGGAACTGACTGTACGGCTGGGCTGTGGGCCCTGCCCGGAGGAGCAGGCCTTCCTAAGCAAGAGGAAGCAGGTGGTGGCTGCCGCCCTGAAAAAGGCCTTACAGCTGGACCAGGACCTGCAGGAGGACGAGGTGAGGGTTGAGCACAGCTAGATGGAGTTTTTCTCAGGCCTGCTGGGGCCTGGGGCTCAGTGCTGGGGTAGTTATGCAAGCCGGAGCTGGTGCCCACTCAGGCTTGTCACTGGCAAGCCCTGCTGCCACATTCTTCTTCCTCAATGTTGTCAGAGTGATACATGAGGCACCTGCTGCTCACAGATGGGAGTTTCCACATAGGCTGACCTGCCTTCCCTGTTTCTTGATCCCCCACCTGACTGATGAGTAAGGTAGACTCACTAGTACGAGGAGGGTCTCTTGGCTCAGAACAGAGGTTCAGACCAACCTCAGTTGTCTCCTAGGGGAATACATCCCAGCACTGGAGATCAGGACCTTTGGGAGAATTTTGAAGGAGCCTTGGGGGCTTCCAGAAAGTGATCCCAGACTCCTTATGGGCTGCCAATAAGCAATATTGCCTGGCTCATTAGGCTGTTTTTCCTGGAGCCCTGATATTTGAAACAGTGAGACCTTTGGAAGGCTTCTTCTGACTAGATCCTCATTGAGGTAACTCAGAGGTGGTCCCAAGATTCAATCACATGTCGACTGACTGGCCCTTTGACTATCATGCTCTCTTTCCATGTAGCCTTCTCAACCTGGCTTTCCTCTTCCAGATCCCAGTGATCGCTGTGATGGCCACAGGCGGTGGGATCCGGGCGATGACCTCTTTATATGGGCAGCTGGCTGGCCTGAAGGAGCTTGGCCTTCTGGACTGCATCTCCTATGTCACTGGGGCTTCGGGATCCACCTGGTGAGTTGACTGTGGGCTGAGTGCTGGAGGCTGCTCTTGGCCGGTGATGTTAGGGGAGGCAATGTAGTAGAAAGGGATTCCTAAGCCCCAGAGGCCCCGGAGCAAGCTGCATGGACTGGGAACAGTGCTCACAGGTAGGGCACAGTGTGCTCCTGGGAAGAAGGTGCTGGCCAGACGGGGGCCTTTGGTGATGACATCCTCCAACTCCTAAGCCTTTCCTTTCCTCAGGGCATTGGCCAACCTCTATGAGGACCCAGAATGGTCTCAGAAGGACCTAGCAGGGCCTACTGAGTTGCTGAAGACCCAGGTAACAAAGAGCAAGCTGGGTGCGTTGGCCCCCAGCCAGCTTTGGCGGTATCACAAAGAGTTGGCTGAGCGTGCTCGCCTGGGCCACCCGACCTGCTTCACCAACTTGTGGGCCCTCATTAATGAGGCCTTGCTGCATGACAAGGTAGGGAGAGGGGTGGGCCCCGGGTTGGTAAAGCTAAGGCAAAGCCATCAGATGGGCCCATCCCTGGGTAGCATGTGGGAAAGATTTCCAGCATCGGGAAGCCGTGGGTTTAGGCTGCGCTCTCTTCCTCAGCCCCATGAACACAAACTCTCAGATCAACGAGAGGCCCTGAGTCGAGGCCAGAACCCTCTGCCTATCTACTGTGCCCTCAACAGCAAGGAGCAGGGCCTGAGTACCTTTGAATTTGGGGGTGAGTGGCTTCAGAACTGGGGCCTGTACTCTTGTGGGTGGTAGAGTACAGTGTAATTAGTCCTGTGTATAAGAGGTGATCTGATGTCCCCTTCTGGTCCAAGCAGCAAAAACTGTCACCGTACCAGCTCTCTTACACCTTTGGGATTGGGAAAGAGGCCTTAGTCCCATGCTTGTAACAAGGCCTGAGAGCCTCCTGGCCCCCAGACTACCCTTAAATAAAGTCCCTGGTAGGAGTCTGGGTGCCCAGGTCCCTGGCCTTCCTGGCTGAGGTGTATTGTTTTCACAGAATGGTGCGAGTTCTCTCCCTATGAAGTCGGTTTCCCCAAGTATGGAGCCTTCATTCCCTCTGAGCTCTTTGGCTCTGAGTTTTTCATGGGGCGGCTGGTGAAGCAGCTCCCCGAGTCCCGCATCTGCTTCCTGGAAGGTGAGAAAGGCCCTCACCTTATGCCTCAGCCAGAGAGAGGGAGGGTTCAGCGGAACAGCAGTTGAGGACCTGTCACTTGTTGCCCCTTTCTCAGGTATCTGGAGCAATCTGTTTGCAGCCAGCCTCCAAGACAGCTTGTACTGGTCCTCTGAACCCAGCCAGTTCTGGGACCGCTGGGCCCAGGATCAAGCCAACCTGGGTAGGTGCTTGGGCTTTTCTGTAGGAGGAAGATGGGCAGTGTCTGAGCATGTGGACGTCAACTGCTTCCCTTCCAGGATCACCACAGAGACTGGGATAAAGGGTCAGAGACCTCCTTTTTCCTAAGGTCACCCCTCATTGCCTCACCCCTTCTCTCACCCGTGCAGACAAAGAGCAAGTCCCCCATCTGAAGATAGAAGAACCGCCGACGACAGCTGGCAGGATCGCCGAGCTCTTCACTGACCTCCTGACAAAGCGTCCCCTTGCCCAGGCCACCCACAACTTCATGCGCGGCCTCCATTTCCACAGGGACTATTTCCACCACCCTCACTTCTGTACCTGGAAAGGTACCCGCCTCCGTGCTCAGCGCGGGATCTCCAGTTCCCTTAGCCTTAGACACACATGCGGCTTTGGCAGGCTGGCGGGGACGAGGGACAGTCTCTCTGTGGGTCTGAACCCACAGTGAGAGTGCTGCTTCCCCCACCCCCAAACCTTTGCAGCTTCCAAACTGGACAGGCTCCCCAACCAGCTGACACCCGCTGAGCCCCACCTCTGCCTCCTGGATGTTGGCTATTTCATCAACACTAGCTGCCCACCCCTCCTGCAGCCAACACGGGATGTGGACCTCATCTTGTCGCTGGACTACAACCTCTACGGAGCCTTTCAGGTGGCAGGGGTGGTGGGCCATGTAGGCTACCCTGTCTTCTGGGCCCCTGAAATCTGCTTTAGGGTCCAGTATCTGGCCCAGGTTCCATTAGTGGGTCCAAAGTGGCACCATGTGCCAAGGATTCTGGATTCTGTTAGCCCCTACAGGGAAGTTAACTCTGCTCGGGGAGTGGGCGCAGAGTTCCTGGTCTGTTCATCTATCTTGTACCATGGTTCTCTTTGCTGTGCCTGAACCCCACAGAGGTCCTGGTATACCTGCTGTTTCTCTATTGCTCTAGCAAGGCGTTTGACTCCTGCTTTCCGAGGGCTATTGGCCACTAACTCAGGAGAGCCTGGGACTCCAGGTCTTGTGCTTCTTAGTGAATGGCCTTGTTTAGTCAGCCTTGTATTGAGCACACTGGGAAGCCTTCTAATGCCCCCTTCTGCCTGCCCAGCAGCAGCTACAGCTTGTGAGCCGGTTCTGCCAGGAGCAGGGCATCCCTTTCCCATCCATCTCACCAAGCCCTGAGGAGGAGCGCCGGCCTCAGGAGTGCCATATGTTCTGTGACCCAGCCCAGCCTGAAGCCCCAGCTGTGCTCCACTTCCCCCTGGTCAATGACTCCTTCCAAGACTACTCAGCCCCTGGTGAGCCTTGGTCACTTCTCTTCCAGCCTTGCCTCAGTGCAGGTGACCCCAGGCCTCCTGCCCAAACTGCCCTCTTCCCACAGGGGTGCCACGGACATCGGAGGAGAAGGCAGCTGGGAAGGTGAATCTGTCTTCTTCCGACTCCCCATACCACTACACAAAAGTGACCTACAGCCAGGAAGACGTGGACAAGCTGTTACGTCTGACGCATTACAACATCTGCAACAGCCAGAATCAGCTGCGGGAGGCCATGCACCAGGCTGTGCAGCGGCGGAGAAAGCGCAAACAGTTTAGGCCGGAGTGACAGCTGAGGTACCCTGGCTGGGATCCCACCTGGGTCACTCTTGATCTTCAACTCCTTCCCCTTCTGCTCTGAGTTCAAGACCAGCATCACCAAGTGCTCCACAGACTGGAGACTCTGATGTCCAGGCACAGCTCCACAAGGATGTGTGTCTGGGACCTCCATGGGTGACACTAACCTGTCAGCAGCCCTGTCACAGAATCTAGGCTGGAAACTGTAACAGGTGCTGTGGCCGTCATTCATGGATGGACATGGGCAGTGTTGGCTGCATGACAGGACACTGTGACATGAAACACTTTACATGTTACAGGGACTCTTATAAACGGGAGGCGCTTGTGATGCTGTCCCAAGATTATCTGCTGTACCAGGCTGTTAGTTCCATTCTGAAGCAGGTTGAGTTTCCAAGAGGCCACTAGCATGGAAGTTCTGATCCTGGCACAGGTTGTCATCTTTGCCCAGAGATCTTGCATTGAAGCCATGGTCCATCTCAGGCATACCCAGTGACATATGACATCAGTGTTTCTTATCCTCTGACAGGAGCTGGGTTCTCCACACTGGTCCTGAGCAGCCATGGGGTGGGTACCTTTGGGCCAGTAGTTGAGTGGATTCCAGGATGTGTCTTCACTGGTAGCCTCGAGGGTTGGTGTTGGCTCAGGATTCATTTCAAGGTTTAGACCTGTTGGGAAAACAGAGATTAGGAACCAAACACCATAAAGTCTTCCCTAAACATGGTGTCTAGCCCTCCCTCCCTGGAGCATCCCACCTGCTCCTAGCTTAGGTGTGGTGAGCGGGTACCAGAGGCTGTGAGAGGAGTAAAGTGTGACAACTTTGATTCTCACAATCCAGCAAGCTATGTCAGCCAGGCAGGTGTTTGTCCCGGCACCACCAGAAGCCACTATGAGCTGGTGGCATAGGCTTCTAATCCCAGCTACTCGGGAGACTGAATCAGGAAGAGTACAAGTTCAAAGCCAGCCTGGGCTACAAGAGTGAGTTCAAGGCCACAATTAAGCTGTAAAGTAAAAGATAACTAAGGGGGAGCTGGAGAGGTGGCTCAGTGGTTAAGAGCACTGACTGCTCTTCCAGAGGTCCTGAGTTCAATTCCCAGCAACCACATGGTGGCTCACAACCATCTGTAATGGGATCTGATGCCCTCTTCTGGTGTGTCTGAAGATAGCAACAGTGTGCTCACATGTATAAAAAATAAATCGTAAGCTAAATCTCAGTGGTAAAGTACATGCCCTCAGTTTACTCCCAGGACCACCGTAGACTGATGTGTCTAGTACAACTCCTGTTCCTTCATTTATACATCAGAATCAAGCTGAAAGCTCAGGAGGCTTGCAAAAGAGAGGGTGTCTATGCCAGAGACCTCTGTCACCTGGTACAGCAGGAGAGCCTTCAGGCACACAGCTGTGCATCAGTCTAGACATACATGACAGTCACACTGGACCTGGGGACCCTTGTGTGTGTGTGAGGGGGTGGTGTTCACATCCTCTTCTGTGTGCCCTAAGTGCCCCAATTCTTAGAGGGCCTTGAAGCCCCTTGGCTTGGAGATAGGAAAGGCATAGCTGAGATGGCTGAGCATGAAGCCAGGATCCACAAAAGACTGAAGATGCCAAAGAAGAGCCTGTGTTCGGTCTGCCTAATCCCTTAGCCTTTGTACTTCTTGCCATTGGCTTGGATATGCTGACACCTTGACCCTGTGTCCCCCTGGAATCAGAGACAGAGTCAAGGCAGGATGGAGCTAGAGAGTAGAGGCGCTGTCTCAGATGTCTGAGCGCACAAGGAGAAGTTTGAGAGTGAGGACTTGGGGCAGACGATCCAGGGGAGCATCCAGTGGTGTGTGGAGTGGATGCCCAGAGAGACTCTTGACTGGGGGATGGCCAGAGCAGTTAACAGTATGTGGAGCTTTTGGAGGTTAGGACCTGTAACCAGCAAGGGCTCCCCAGGTGTAGAAGGTGGGGAGATGAGAGAAAAGGTGGAGTGAGCCCCTGAGATAGCATGTCCCTGGAGTCTGGGGAAAGGGAGCCTGTACCTGAGTCCTGCTGTCACCTCAGAGTCCAGGTGTGAGGGGTGGGAGTAAGGGTCTCCCATGTGGGACCTCACCAGTCCACTCAGCAGAGCGGGCCTTGAGTCCTGGCATCTCAGGATTAAGAGAAAACCACTCTACCAGTATCCCACTTGAGCACAACATCCTTGCTCTCAGCAGGGAATCAGAGGATGAGGTTCATGAGCCTAAGACAGCTCCTTCCTAGAAGCTGTGTCCCTGTCCCAGGGACTAAGGGGCATGCTGAGTCAGCCCTTGTCTGCCTTTCTACTCTGGTGCTGCAGTGTGGCTCAGCACCCAGCACTCCCAAGCAGACTCCTAGCTCCCCACCGAGACTCCAATGCAGGGAGGTGGGGAAATTCAGGGTCCCTTTGGGATTCTGAAAAAAAAAAAAAAAGGTGGGAACAAGGGGAGGTGATGACAGTGAGGTAGGGAGATAGGACCCAGGGATGGGGAAGAACACCTGGTATTCCCACCACTCCACAAAGAACGCAGCAGATGCATGAGGAAGGCACAAATGGCAAAGGGTATGTTCTGTACATTCTTCCTGCTAATGGGCCTGGGCTTGGCCACAGTCTAGACCAATCAAGACCTAGCATTTGGAGTTAACACAACCTATGAGTCCAGAAGGGAACGGAACTCACACAGTCCCTGGCTGGAAGGGGTAGGGATGGAGGTAGGGGTCAGTACAGACTCCAAAGGGGACAGGACAAGAGAATCTTTACCTAATTATCTATGTCTGACTGAGGTTTTTTTTTTTAGCTGCTCAGAGTTTTAAGTTCTTTGAGAAAAAACAGCAAGTCCCACTTTCTAGACAGTAGATACTGGCTGTGAGCACTCCTAGCTCCATAAGTAACACTGGGAACCTGGGGCCCAAGCACCTCTCCTTCCTTCCCCTACAGCTTACCTGCCGTGCTACCCAAGGCTGGCTGACAGACTGTGGCCTGCTTTTCCCACTGTCCTGCAAACAGACCTCAGTTCTGCTCAGCCTACCTTTTTTGGTTTTGTTTGTTTTTTTAAATTTATTTTTTTATTAGTAACTTTTTTTAAAATGTTAATCAAAGACTTTATAAGTTTGGTAATGCTCAATAACAAGATGCCCATACAATCAGAAGTATAACCCAATACCCAACCTAGATATACCAACTACCTTTGACTGGCAGAGACATACGAACATCTGCCTCCATGTTCCACCCCCCCCACCCACCCCCCCGTGCAGGCCCCCTCTCTATTGTCTCCTAGCTCCTCCTCTCCTTCTCCTCCTCCTCTCCTTACTCCTCCTCTTCCTCTCCTTACTCCTCCCACCTTAGCTCCTCCTACATATCACCCTTTTAAGAAAAAACTTTTCTCTCAAAATACAATTAGAGCACAACTGTACCATTTTGTATCAGTTAGGTACAAAATAGACCTAATACCCAGTCCATCATTTTGTTGACTAACCAGAACCTCTGTCATCTCTCCTAACTAAAAGACTTAGTTCTGAACCTGGCTTTTTTTCTTGGCTTTAGAATGAAAGTCAGCTGAAAAACATCTTCTCAAGTCTTTTCTCTCAAAGTAAATAGCTGGGATTGGCTATGAGACTATAAATCTTCAACCCTGTCAGAGATCCAGAATGACTGAATTAACTGAAATTATGGGAAGCACAAAGCATAGCTTCTAAAACTTAGTCAATTTATAGAGACAGCTGAACACCTGGACAGTCCCTATACTACAAAACGTTGGAGCATCTGATCTTCAGCCTTCTGGCCCAGGATCATCTGACACACCTAGTGATGCAGAATTATTAAGGGCTGATTACTCTGTCTTGGCAGATACAATCAGTCGACTATTCCGCAAGTGTGTCCTTAACAGGACAGTAATTTGTCTGTAGATGAAAAGAGGCAATTCTTGCCTAGTGTCTGTCTCACCACAACTGGAGTAACTCCAAAGATGCTCAATTTATTCTTAGAATCCAAGACAGGAAGCTGTCAGGAGCAGACAGATCTCTAATCAAAATGAACCTTAATACTTAAAAAGTCAATTCTGTGGATTTCTGACGTTTTGAAAACCAACTATTCATGTAAGGCAATCTGGACTGTTGTCTGTTAACTCCTCTCAGCTATTTCTAAATAAAATATAGAAAACACCCTAACAATAAACTCAGAGCCATGAATTTGCTATAGGCCCTTAACTCATAGGCTAACCATCTCAAATCAGTTTAAAAAAGGTTAAAGAAGGACTGGGTCTAAGCCTTGTATTCCTAAATGTGTTATATAGGCACAATGCCTATAACAATACTAATCTTACTTCTATATCAATAAGAAACTCGTACCAATGAAAACCTTAAATTTGAAATCAAAGTAAATTTTGTACCATTTAAGAAATTATAACTTCAGCTTAATAACAACCATACAGATTTCTACCAATAGGTTATGGCTATGCAATAAATCCTAGCTATTCCTCCCTGTTCCAACAAAACCACTACTTTTCCCTAGAAAGACAGCCCAATATTAACCACCTCGGTCCCTAAGCCCAGGGGATAGGGGTGCCGACTCTTGATTAACTTCTTCAAGCTGGTTACAGGAGTTGAGATATTAGAAGAGGGGCGGGGGGGGGGGAAGTAAATTGATAAGCCTCTGTCGTCTGTGTCTTCACTTATTCATCAGCCTACCTTCTAAGCTGACCCTCGGCAGCTTCCCGTGTCCCACTTAGCACCTCTGCGGGCAGCCCAGGGAAAGCTTGCTGTCAGGCCAGGCCTACAAGCCTCACCTTGGGAAGAAAGTCTGCTTTCTGTCCTCCAGCCTCTCACATTCCGTTTCCTCGGGTACAAGGGGAGACATGGAAGCCTGGGGAGAGATGAGGTGCAAGGATCACAGGGTGCCCCAGCTTTTCCCTGTGGGAGCTATCTTTTTTCCCTTGAGATGCTTCTAATTGCCAGAGGTCTCTTACCCCAGTGCCACTTGGTACTTCTGCTTTCCTCCTATCTGAGAACAGGCTCAAGGTTCCCCTTGCCAAGATCCCATGGCTGCTGGTCCAGAAGCTGGTACTGGGCTGTGGGGAAGACAGGAAAAAGGCCCCAGGTCAGGCCTCAGACCCTTCCAGGAAAAGTACTGCCCACAGTTTTCACAGGGAAGAGGGAACAAGGGTGGGCTCAGACAGGGCATCCAAGAGGGTAGCGGTAAGCCCTGTCTCTTTCCCTTTCCTCTTCTGTGGATAGAAACTATAGCCTTCCCTGAGACCACCCAGGAGGTTAAGCAGGAGTCTAAGGGGATCCACAGTGCCTGGCCCAGATGGCTGCTGATATGGGATTGCCTGCAGTCAGAGCTAGCACACACCTGCCTCCCTTCTGTGGGAGGCTGCTGGTCAAGTTCCACAGACACCTCCACAATATGAGCACCCTTTGCCTCCTGAAAATACAAGATGGGGGTGGGGGTGGGTCCAGATGTCAGGCCCAGCACAGTCAAGAAGGGAGACGCCCAGTCCTCATTCCCAGTGGCCCCCAGCACTCCTGGCCCCTGTGCCTGCTCCAGAGTATAGACCCTGGACACCAGTGCCCCTGTGACCTAACTACATGCTCCAGGGAGATAGTGGTATCCAGTGGGTACACAGACTACAGTTGCTTTATCTCAGCCAGATGTGCAACCAACCCCCAGTGTTCAAACATGAGTGGTCCCCCACCCTGTTCTCTGCCACTCCAAGAGTGCTGCCCCCTACTTTGATTATGCTTCAGCTTGGAAGTCATCCTTAGTCTTCCACGGAAGCCCTGGATGGCAGGGGCTGGCAGTTTTCCTAAAGGAGAAGCCCTGAGGAAGACTCCACAAGGCCTTGCTGCTCTAACAAGCCCTAACATGTAGATTGACCAGCTGTCCCACCCAACAGCCCTCATGCCTCTTCTTAGTATACCCAGCCTCCCCTCCTCCAGCCCTTGACCTCTGTCATCGTCTGAAGCTGGATGAACTTCTCCTCATGGGCTGCCAGTAGTTTTTCCAGGCCCTCGTGTCTGTAGAGCAGCCGTTCCACTTCCAACACTGAGTGCTGAGAGAAATGAGTCAGCTTGTGGTTCCGTTCTGGGGTGCTGTGTCTCCTTACCCTCCAGGCTTAGCCCTAGGGCCAGTGAACAGAGAACAGCAGGCTCTGCCTCCCCTTACCCCACAGCTGGGGTCCAGCAGCAGGCACTCCCTGGAGGCCAGCCAGGTCTCAGCCAGCTCCAGCTTCTGCCACAACTGTTGCAGGCTCCGGCTCTGCTCCAAGCGTTGTCCACGCAGGGCCCAGGCTACCTGAAGCTCCTGCAGATGTCTTTCCAGCTCCTGCATACACTCTGCCACCTGCAGGAAGGGAGCCTTGAAAGCCTGGGCAGAGCTCCTACCTGCCAAGGCTAGCAGGCGAGCCAGGCCTACAAGGACGGTTGCTTTCTCAGCCTTCCTCATTCTCCCTAGGGCTGCTAGGCCTCAGCAGCGAGGCCCATCCCATCCCATGCTGGGCTCACACCTCCAGGGACATGAAGTGGCCATTGTCCAGCAGCTGCTGCCCTTCCTGCCGCGTGTTCTGGGCTTGAAGGCAGCATTCCTGGATTTCTTGCTTCAGCTCCTCATGCTGTTCAAGGAACTGCTTGGCCCCCACCACATCCCCAGCCTGCTTCTCCGAGGAAAGCAGCTCCTGCTTCTCCTGAGCCCACGCTCTGCTAGGCAAGGAAAGAAAGCTCCTAGCAGAGCTGGTGAGGCAGCCTGGGGAACAAGGGCAGGAAGCGCTACTCCCCAAACATCAGGACAGGACAGAGCTGAGCTAACAGTATGGACCCTACTTACAGCAATTCTCGGCAGCTCCAAAGAAAGGTGTGGCCCTGGGTAGTCTGCAGCAGCTTCTGGCTCCATTCCTGGACTTTAGCCTCCAGGTTGGCCCAGGCCCCCTGCACCTTGGTGAGCCACTCACCAAGGCTCCCCTGAGCCACAGGGTAGTGCTGGCCAAGCCGATGGGCCTCCATCTGTACTCTTGACACCTCTTTTTCAATAGCCTGCAGTTCTCTCTGCAACCAGAACAATTTGCACTGACATGCTCCCCATTCAGAAGCCCCTGGCCTGTTGAGACCCCTCTGTTCTGCTTAAAACCTGTTCCAAGTCCCTTAGATCAGAGGGGAGTGGTCCAATACCCTGGAGAAGTGGCTCAGGGGCAGGTCCCAGGTGAGGCCATTGCCCGTCATCTCTGATGAGGGACCGAGGCACACAGGTCTTTTGCTGTATGCCTGAAGGAGTGGGCCCGAGGTAAGCAGCTTTGGGCAAGGCCTTTACCTGCAGGCACCTATGCTGCTGCTCCTGCTGCTCCTGCTGCAGTTGGGGCTGTGCAGGCAACAGGCTGTGATCTCGGAATTTTTCCTCCAGCAGGGTAGTCTTCTCCTGCACCCACCCCTGGAGCTCTGAGGCAGCCTGCTCAAAGCTCCGGAGATCACGGGCTGCTGCCAGGTTCTGAGAAAGAATGGGGGTGGGGAGGGGCTCACTTGGAGCTGAACTGTGTTCCACGGCCCCATACCCCCTGAGACATGGCCTACCTCTGTACGGACTTTGATTGCCTTGTTCAGCCTCTCCCAAGTGGTCTGGACGCGACACTTCTGAGCTTGAATCTGAGGGTAGAACCTGGGTGCTCCTCTTTCTAGGGAAGCCATCAGCTCCCTCAGGGTCTGCATCTTGGCCTGGCCCAGGCTCTGAACTTCTCTGCTGAAAGCACCAAACATGTCTTCCAGCACCTAGGAGGGGTAAGGCCAGGGATTCCAGAGCTTCTGCTGGCAGCCTTGGAAGCTCATTAAGAGTCTGGCAGTACCAGTGGCCCCAACATCACTTAACCCTAGAGTTCTAGAACTACAGACTCTTCCAGTGACACCCCTCCAGAATCCTTGTTCACCCCTCAGGATCTCCCATTCTCAAACATGTTCTCCTTTCCTAAGGAAGCCTCTTCCCCGTTCTCTGGGTCTACTGAGGACTAACCCACCTTGATGCCTTCTAGATCCTGTCCATAGTCCTGGGACTCAGCGACGGCCAGCTTGGTGGTCAGCCAGGCATCCAGGAGCAAGGCCTCTTGCTCCAGCTGGTATAGGTGCAGCTGCTCATGCAGTGCTTGCCCCCTGTTCTCTGCTCTCTGCAGCAGCTGTGCATGGGCCTCTCTCACAGCCTGCAGCTGGGCCAGCACCCTAGGACTATGACAGGAAGGAAGGATAGGCTTCCCTATCCTTCCATAGGCTGCATCCCTCCTTCTCCAGACTGGACCAGCCTCCTCCACCTCTGACAAGGGCACCCTCATCTCTGCTTCTATCCAGGGAGTATGTGGCTCTGGCCTACCTGCCTGGGTTCTGCCCACTCTCCAGAAGGACCACTGTTTGCTGTAACTGCTCAATGTGTCTGCTGAACCCCTCCAAGTCTCGTGTGGTGGCCTCCAGACGCCGCAGAAGAGCCTGTGTGGCCTCAGCATCCTGACCCAGGTCCTCACTGTCCAGAATATGGCCCTGTTCAGCTAACCAGGATCCCGCTTCCAGGAGCTAGGTAGTGTAACAGCAGGAATTAGTTTCTTAGGCCCAGGACTTGAGAGTGGGATCCTCAGAATTCAGAGTGGGAGTTACGGTATATGGGATAGGATTTCGGGAGGTGTCCTCAGTCAGTTGCATGGGGGGAAATTGCCTGGAGAGCCCTCATGGGTCCTTCCTAGCACCTTCCAGAAGATTCTCACTGTACTGGAAAGACCATGAATGCCAGCATTTTTAAGGTTTCCAGGTGATTCTTTCCTTTTTCTTCATGTAAATTAAAGATGATCTATTTTTGCTCCTCAGAGATAGTGTTGCTATTTAATATAATAAAAGCAAATTTTGCCTGGCAGTGGTGGCACATGCCTTTAATCCAGCACTTGGGAGGCAGAGGCAGGTGGATTTCTGAGTCTGAGGCCAGCCTGGTCTACAGAATGAGTTCCAGGACAGCCAAGGCTATACAGAGAAACCCTGTCTCGAAAAGCAAAAACAAACAAACAAAAAAAGCAAATTTTAGCCAACAATCTTTACTTTGTTTCTTTTCATTTCTTATTACTTTTTATCTTGTTGTGAGACAGGGTCTCACTTTATAGGCCTTGGTTGGCCTGGAACTTGAAGTGGTTATCCTCCTGTGTCTGCTTTCTGTGTACTGAATCACAAACACAAGCCACATCCCTGGCTTCTAGTTGCTTTTGAGGTGTTTTTCTTTGCTTCTTTGAGATAGGGTCTTACTATAGCTCAGTCTCCTAGGTGCTTACGTTTCTTGGTATGTATTTAGTTTGTGAGGTAGCTCAGATGTAATTGCAAGGGGAAGGTTCCAGGTGATTCTGACATAAAGTTCTAGCTGGAAACCCCGGTTTGGAAGAAACAGCGACAGTAAGGTGCTGGAGGCTGGGGGTCATAGCTCTGCCCGCCCTGGGAGGCATCTCTCAGTCCCATACACTCCCAGTGTCCTCAGGCCAGTTCTGACAGCCTCCATTTGACAGCATCCCCTCACCTCCACCAAAGCCTGCTGGATCTCCAGGGCCTGCTGTAGCATCCTCTTCCTTCGCGCTGCCTCTGTCTCTAGGTGGTTTAGAGCCACCTCCAGCTGCTGCACCCGGGCGGCCACTTCTTCAGCGGCAAAGTGTCCCGCCTGTACAAGCTTGTGCCCTGTACCTGTCACTGCCTGGCTCAGAGCCTTGTGGCTACTGATCTCATTCTCTAAATTCTGCAAAGGAGGAAGAGCCAGGGATGTACTAGAAAACTGAGGAACCCACACCCTGGTGAGTCATTGGACCCTACAGACTTACAAGGAATTTCCATCCCAGGATTTCCAAAGAAAATAGGTGTTCCTCAAAGCAGAGGTTGTGGTGGTCCACAGTGGTCCTTGGACCATGAGCCTCCAACCCCTCTGAGGCTGCCCCTTCCCCAGTCTCCCAGCATGGGCGAGCACCTGGTGCTTCTCCTGCAGGTGGCGCACAGTGCCCAGGCTCTGACCATAGTCCTGGGCTGTGGCAGAGGGCAGCTTCTCCTGAACCCAGGCCATTTCCTCATCAGCATCCCTGAAGAACTGTAAGAGGAGCCTTTGGGCTTCCAGGGATGCCCTGTGCTCTTGTAGGGACTCCCGAAGGCCCTGAAATCTGAAAGGGAACCAGAGGGGGGCAGTGTTGAAACTAGTTTTCTTCCAAGGAAGCAGGGAAAGGAAGACAAGGTATCAAACCAGGGACCTGGGCAATCTACCTGTGAAGCAGCTGCTGGGCTTGCTCTTCCACATCTTTGGCGAGGCAGTGACCTTCCTGAAAGCAGGCTTGGGCCTGGCCCTGCAACTCCTGCACCTGCCTGGCCTGCCTATCCACAGCTGCTTCTAGCTCCTCCTGGGACCCTAGGAGCTCGCCCACTCTAGGCAGGTCCTGGCTTCTGACAGAGACTCTAATCTCTGCTTCCACAGGCTCCAGCCAGTTCTCTAGTTCCTTCAGCACCCTCTGCAGATGCAGGACCTAGGACAGAACATAGGTGAGCATAAGAGAGTGAGGGTGCTGTGTCCTAGAGTCCTGTCCAGGGAGTTGCTTCACAGACTATCACCTCACCTTGAGGGCCCCCTGTAGTCTGGCCATCTTCCTCTGGCAGTTGATCTGCAGCTCAGTCCAGAGGCCTCCTAATTCTTCCAGTTGCCCCTGAATGGTCTCTGAGGCTGGGTGGCCCCCGTGTAGCAGCTTCTGTCCCTCCTACATCACACAAACATTCTGGACTGAGGATGCCGATACCATGGTGTCAATGACCAACCCCACAGCTGCAGCCTCTGCAAGCTGACTGTGACATGGGACAGATTTCCATTCCTTCTCTCTTCCCAGGGTCAAATACCACGGCCACCAGTGCTGACATTATGGGCATGCGACCTAACACCAAGCCTCACCAGTTCCTTAATCTGTTTGTCTGTCATGCAATGGAGCAGCAATGATTATTGCTTAAACGAGGTAACCTAGCATGAACTACTTAACAAAACATCTGATAGCAGGAATAATCAGCCTGGGGTCAGGATTCCTTTCCAGGCAGAAAAGAAATGTTAAAAAAAGGAGGGGGGAGGGGGTGGTGGAGGGGAGAAAAAGAAAAAAAAAGATACTGTTTTGACATCTTGTGCTCCAGATGTTTCAATACATGTTTCAATATATTTTCCATAAAAATTTTCAAGGGTGGGCTGGAGAGATGGCTCAGCGGTTAAGAGCACTGACTGCTCTTCAAGAGGTCATGAGTTCAAATCCCAGCAACCACATGGTGGCTCACAACCATCTACAATGAGATCTGATGCCCTCATATGGGTGTCTGAAGACAGCTACAGTGCTTACATATAATAAATAAATAAATAAATAAATAAATCTTTAAAAAAAAATTTTCAAGGGTTACCTAGCACAGTGTCTGCACAGAAAGCATGAGACAGACACTGTTGTCAATACTTTGATTCAAAGCCAGCTGCAGGGATGTTGGGGGCTGGGCTATGGCCCCCAAGAGCCCTGGAACCTCACCATCTGGAGCTCCTGCTGCTGGTGAACACTGGCATCCAGCTCAGCCTGGAAATTCTGCTGCTTCTGCAGCTGTGCTTGCATCGTGGTTGGGTCTTGCTGACCCTCATCCAGGGCCCCCAGGTTCTTCTCCCTCAGCCATGTAGCTACCTGACACAAGGGAAGAACCAAGCTTTGCCTTCTCTAACCTCTGGAGAGCCCCTGAGGAAGGTGTACCCCCACAACCCTCTCAGCCCAAGCAAAGGGAACCTCATTGGAATCCTGCAAAAATTTCCGAAGCTTCTGCAGCTCCTCCAGCTGGCATCCCCAGGCCCTCGCTTGCTCTGTGAGTGCCTCTGTCCTGCAAGAAGAGTCTCATGGACCCCCAGGTTCACCCCACAGACCACCAGAACAGGAGAGTTTCTCCCCCTCCCTCCCTCTCCTGTATGTGTGCATGTGTAGTACAACCTTTCCTGAGCTGTATCACAGTGACTTGTATCTGAGGTTTCCTTTGAAACAAAGACTCATATGCTTCCTTTCCATATCGTGTCACTTACGTTCATGGCGTAACCCACTCTCTCAGAATGTAAGTGTGTTTGGAGATAGGTCAGCCCAAATCTGAGAGAACAGCCATTATTGTACAAGGAGGTTAAGGTAGGGACACACCCAAAGGGATGATCAAGCAAGGACATGGGAGAAGCCTATAATCCAGAGATACCCTTCTAACACCTTGATCTCCAACTTCATGACTCTAGAACTGTGAGAAAATAATTTTTGTTGTTTACCTCATCCAGCCTGCAGCACTTTGATATAATAGTCCAGACTAATAGAGCATCCAAGCACCTTTTAAAAATATGTTGGTAATTGAACCTATGACGTCACACATACTGGTATTCTAATACTGAGCTGCACCCCAAGTCCTTGTTTTGCTTTTTAAAACTTGTGAGGCTGCCAGGCAGTAGTGGCACACGCCTTTAATCCCAGCACTTGGGAGGCAGAGGCAGGCGGATTTCTGAGTTCAAGGCCAGCCTGGTCTACAGAGTGAGTTCTAGTTTGGCCAGGGCTACACAGAGAAACCCTGTCTCGCCCGCCCTCCCCCCCCCAAAAAAAAAAAAACAAAACTTGTGAGGCAGGGTCTCGCTGACTTGCCCATGCTGACCTTAAATTTACCCCATAGCCCAAGCAAGCATGGTGATCTTCCTGCCTCAGTCTCCCAAGTAGCTGGGATTACAGACCTGAGCCACTAGAATGGTTTTGATTTTATGCTATTTTTACATTTTTATTTTATTTAACATTAGTGTGTGTGTACACATGTGTGTGAGTGTGTGTGCCTGCATGTGTGTGTGTGCCATGGAGTGCATGTGGAGGTCAGAGGACAACTTTCAGGAACTAGCTTTCTCCTTCTGCCACTGATCCAGCACTGCAGCTTACGTGACAAACGCCCCCACTTGCTTTGCTGTCATGACAATCCCACCCCCATTTCTTTTTAAGACAGGGTCTCACTATGTAGCTCAGCCAGACTTCAAACTTTCTATGTAGACCAAGCTGGTCTCAAATCTCTCGTTGCTCCCGCAACAAGTGCTCAGATTTCACATGTGTGCAAGCATGCCTGGCTTGAGTCATGTTTTTGATTATGCACTGGTGTGAGCAGGAGTCACACACACACACTACATTTTAATATTTAACACAAAATATTTGATATATACAAACTATATTAGGTGTTAGTTTATATATTCCAGGTATGTACCTATGAACCAATGTAGTAAAAACATTAGCACATGCGCACTGAATAAAGTTCTAATACCTCCATCCCACAGCCCGTGAACAGTTCCTCATCAGTGGTTTCCCTCACTGATGTTAGCACCTACACCAAAGGGCATGGGGCTAGGGGAACCAGAGGCTCCACTGAACACAAACCTGTATGAGGGAAAGATCAATGACATCACTCTGGGGCTGACTGGGCCCACCAGCCCCACATAAGGTAACAGAGCTGGCAGATTAACTTGCTGTTTGTCTATTCAGACCTCCATGAGCACCCAGGGAAGTCCACCTGAAGTAATGAAGAGCACTGGGGCCTGAGAGGTGGCTTGGTAGAGTCAGAGGACCTGGGTTCTATTCCCAGCACGCATATGGCAGTTCGAAATCATTTGTAACTATAGGTATGGCCTCTATAGATAACAGGCAAGTACATGGTGTACAGACACACATGCAGGCAAAGTACTCATACTCACAAGATATAAACAAACAACAAGCAAATGAGAGGAGATATACTGGCCCCTGCTAGAGCATCATCATGAGGAGCTGCAGAAGCGGGAAGGTAGCCACAGCCAGGCTGGTCATGGCTTTTAGCTGTATCTGCCTTAGTCTACATGCTGGGGGAGCTAGGCCAGCTGAGCCAGAGGAGTTGTTATGAGGGAGAAGGCAAGGCTAGTGTCATAAAATGGGCACGCTATTCAGGTCTCTGGTTGAACTTCAGTTGCATAAGAGATCTTCAGCCTATTCAGGAGGAGCAGGCACCATGGTAAGATACTACAGGCCTCAGAGGCAGACTTAAGACTTAACTAGGAGAGTGAGATTTGCTTCAGGCCCAGCCATTAGGTAGCAGAGACTCAGGGTTGTGGTCTTGAAGGGCTGACACCTAGCACTGCTCCTGTCCCTTCCTGTCATTAAATCACTTCCTCTCAGTTTCCTAGTGTGAGCTTCTTGGAGGATAAAGCCGCAAGGGAGAAGGAAGTGGCTGTCATATGTTGTCTGATGGACAACAGGCTTGCACTGTGGGCTCAGGAGTAAGGACACTCCCAGCATGTGACCCTAGGCTTTGGAAAAGGCATGGAGCAGGGCCGTGAAGTTAAAAATCTGGAAAGGATGACCTTGGGTAATGGATGCCCACATTAGCTCACACACAGTTCCCACCATCCCAGAGCCATGGGTACCTCAGGAGTAGGGCCTGGCATCTGTCCAGGATGCTATGGGCCGCAGAGTATCCACCCTGGTGCAGGCTGTGGGCTGTGGCCTCCAGTGCACTGATCTTTTCAGCCTGTGCCTTCAGGCCCTGCTCACGCCTCTTGTGCTTTGACAGAAGAGTCTCCACAGTGACCAAGGGGTCCTGGTGGAAGTGGGAACCCATGATAACTATAGGGTTGTCACCACTCCACCCTGAACTATGTTGTTCTCTAGAGCCAGCCTAACAAACCCTTTCTTCAAAGTGGATGTTCTCCAATAGGCATTATTTAGACACCACAAGGCAGCCTATGGCTTTAGGACAGGGAGATACTTGGCTGGTGTCTAGTATCCATTCCCAGGGCAGGCTGAGCACTGCCCTCTCACTGTCATGCTCTGAGTAAGACTGTCTTACTCATTATTCTCCCAGGTCCCTGTGAGTTACAAGTGTCTGTTACTGGGGTTGGGTGATGTTGGAATGAAGACAGAGTGACAAGAAAGAGGGAGAGACGCTATCCAGTGGAGCAAGAAGTACTTAGGACTGCTGGTAACTGCTCAGCAGTGGGAAAGACCTTGACCCAGAGAGCTTGATGACCTGGCTAGCTTGACTGGTCTCCTCTGTCCTTCCCACCCCTCTTGGACACCTACCGCCACTCCCTCACTAGCCAGGGCGGCATCTTCACTGTCAAGCCAGCATTCCGCCTTTTCCACAGAGCTCAGAAACAGCTGGTGAAAAAGGATAGGAGAAGCTCAGCAGAGGCCCAAGAACTACTTAGGTATGTCTGTGACCTTTCTGGTGGTTCAGGTTCGGAGAACCTGGACCTGGCTCCACGGTACAGGAGCAGGCAGACTGGTGGGAATACTCGGCCTTTTCAGCTTTGGCTTTGACCAGAGCTCTGGGTACATCTTAGGTCCCAATAGCGGGGTAGGCTAGAAGCTGGCCTGCGGCCCACCTGCTGCTCCAAGGCCTGCTGTAGCTGCTGCTGCCGCCTCTGCCATGATTCCTGCAAGCTACTCAACTCCTGCTCTACAGTGGCCAGGGGCTGGCGAATCCCAGAGGCCAGTGGGTATCCAGATGCAAGCAGCCGCTGCCCCATGCTTCGGACCAGGTCAAGGCTGTCTGTTCGGATGTCCAGCTCAACCTGTAATAGGCCTGAGATCAGTTCCCTGTAGGCTAAGGCCTACCAGGACCACCAGAGGACCAGCAGGAAGGAGGAGGTTGGAAAACAAGGGGAGGATGGAAAAGGACAAAATTGGTCAGGAGTCAAAGAAAGGTCCTAGTAGGGGTCAGAGGAAGGGGTGGGTTAGCGAGGGGTGACATTTGAAAGGCCTCTCACCTCAGGACTGCTGCTCACCTTGTATGCCTGGTTCTCTTCCAACATGTACAGGATTCTCACAGGGCTGCAGGGGATGGCCTGTATGGCCATCTCAGCCTGTAGTTCCTGGGCCCAGTCCTGCAGATCCTGTAGCCGAGTCTGGAGCTTTTCAACTTCATGGCCCACATCCAGCAACTCCTTCCTGCTCACAGGACTCATTAGTAAGCTCTAGGCTCATGGAGTCCCCTTTCCCTCATGCCCAGTGCCCTTTAATCCCCTCACCACAGAAGGTCCATGGGATGGGAGTTCATTGGTAAATGATACAGGAACTCAGAAGAAAGCAGGGGCCAAAGGGAAGTGGTTGGACCAAGAACAGGAGAGAGCAGTCCGCATGGGACGAAGGCCCACAGGCTCATACCACTTTTGGGTCTTGCTCCAGACCTTCCACCAGCTGTCCATCATTTCCTGTTGCTTATGTCTGAGGCTGTGTGCAACTTCGGGACTTTCCTCGCAGAGCTGGCCTACCCTACCTCCAAGAGACTGTAGGGAGAAAGGTTAGAGGCTAGGCAGCAGGGGCTCGGGCTGAAAGCCAGTGGGTGTTTTAGCATGTGACTCTTAGGAATCTATCAGAGCTCCCCTAAGGATGTACCCAGGGTCTGGGTCCCCCAACCACATACCTCCACCTGGGTCTGGATGAGGTCCATCTCCTGCTGCACCATTTTCTGTCTCCATGACAGCCTCTGTACGTTCTCCAAATCTTCAGTGCCCTCCAGGGCCGGGATCAGCGATTCCTGGGAGGGTGTGAGAAGACCTTAGCTTCTGCTGCCTCCTCACTGCAGAAACCTGGTTACCTAGAGCGGCAGGGTAGAACTGCAAGCATCCTGCCCGAATCCCTTCCTGCTGCCTCAGAGGAACTGGAGCAGGGGACTGAACTTGACCAGAGGCATTTTCCTCATGTTCAGAAAACAAAAGAGTTCTGGGGCAGAACTTTGGGTCTGGACTTTCCTCCCGTAAAACCTGTGTGTGGTACTTCCTAGCATTTTGTCTCTGACTCTGATCCCTCTGGAGAGGGATTTCAGAGGACAAAGGCCTGAGTTAGCTCCAGTGGAGGAGGATGCTGTGCCACATGGGATTCTCAGGCCACATAGGTCTTAGCTACACTTTCATAGCTTGAAGTCCACCTGCATTCATGTGGGACCAACACCATCCTGGGCCAAACATCTTATGGGCTTTAGACTTGCTTAGGGTCCAGGAAAAACAGGGCATGCTCTGGCCTCTGGACCCATCACACATCTGGGATAGAAAGAGGCAGGGTTGGCTTGGAAGCTGCAGAGGTGGTGGTGGGGGTTATAGTATACTTCTTCTTGGTGGATCCTGGTGGGATCCAGCTGAAGAGCAAAGTGGGCCAGAGGTCATGGGAGACTCAAGGCAATGCCACTCCCAACTCAGTGCACAGGGGACTTTTCACTACCTACCTTCTCCCTGATCTGCTCAATGATGTCATCCAGTTCACTGGAAAATCTATGTATCTCCAGGGCTGCTTCAAGCTGCTGCTGATACAGGAGTAGGTTTCCATGGAAAGTCTTCCACCTGACCAAACGATGGGGGTGAACATTGCAGCCTGAGGTGGCCCATCTCCCAGCCCCACTGCCCTTTCCCGTCTAAGACTGGCCTATTGTTGAGCTGGTTTTGCCGCTGGCGGATGATCTCAGATTCCTCAGGGCCCTGGTTCTTGAGCTGCAGTGACAAGTTTTTGATTCTCCTGATGTGGGCATCAGTCACTGTGACCTATGGGGAAGGTAAAGGCAAGGATGCTTGTTCAAGGCTGCCAGTTCAAAGCCTGGTCTTGGCATAGCTGTTGTGATTGTTCCCTGGGAAAGCAACCACCATCTTGGGGCACTCAGTGGTGCCTCTTGCCAAAGATTATCCCAGATGGTTGATGGTTTTATATTCCCTCATGGAAGGCTGGGAGGGTCACAGGACCCCCACCTGAGTATCCAGGTGCTCCATACCCTCTGTTGTATGTAACTCTGCCTTGAGTGCACAGGGCCTGGGGAAGAAGCTGGAGTGTATCCACCTGAGAAGAATTTGGAAGAGGGCTCCACCATCACTCTCATTTCTCCTAGGTAAGGTTGTTCTGCTTGTTGGAGGCAGGAGCACCCACACTCCTGTGTCATGCTCTGTACAGAACCCCAGTAAACCCCACAGCAGTGGGCTTTGTCTCTTGTCTTGGTTTGTTGTTGGGGCCTTGGGAGAAGGGGCAGATACTGTTTATGTCTCCCCCTGAGAAGGAATTTTAGCAACTGCAGCACATTTGGGGAGTGAGAGGCAGCTGTTTCCTCTGCAGTGACAGGTGCTGGAGGCTGCCCCTCTCAGCTACAGTGAGGAAGCCCAGCCTGGAACCCACAACTTGGGAGACTCTCAGGTGGGGAAGTGGGTTTCGCAGACTGAGGACTGGGTAGGAGGAGCAGGTGGACACAGACTCAGTAGTGTTTAAAGTTGAAAACAGAGCTTGATCACAGGGCAGGCTTACATGTCCTCAGGGAGAGGGGACCTCAACAGGGTGGATCACAGGCTCCCAGCTCTCTACATCTGTCACATTCATAACTCCTCAAAGCATGTTCCTAAGGAGTGGCTTGTCTGAGAGATGAGCCTGGAGCACAGCAGGGCTCAGGGGAGCACAGCAGGGCTCAGGGGAGCACAGCAGGGCTCAGGGATCACAATGTTCACTCATGGCAGGCCAGGGTGTCCTTTCTCGCTGTACTATCTGATTTGGCATCTGAGAAGTGTTACCACTAAGGATGTGTTGGAGTTAAGACTACAGCTTTTACTAAAATCCCACACACCTGTATCGGGGTGGGTTAGCACGCCATCTTCAACACCTGATTACAGACATATTTGCCAATTTCCTCCTCTATATTACAGAGGAATAGATCCCTGGTATGTTTGGTGGGTGGTGTTGGGGAGGAGATACTGAACTGCTCATACTGAGGAAGGCATTATCTACCACACCCAGCCATGGGTTCTACCTTTTTAACAAATTTTGAAACAGTAAGTTATGATTGCAATTTTTAATGCGTTCAGAAAGTTGCAAAATTTCAGTGACCCCATTAACTCCCTGCTTCTTTTTTTTATTCGATATTTTATTTACATTTCAGATGTTGTCTCCTTTCCCCAACCCCCCTCCAATTCCATGCTTCTCATCATATCACTGAAACCAGACTTCCAAGTTTTCCAGGAGAGACATAATTTCATTACAAGGGTGGAATCATGTGACTGCCACCACACTCGGGCATTCCCTCGCCTCTGAGAAAGGCATGAAACCCATTTAGAGATGAAGAAACTAAGGACTGGCCAGATGAGCTCACTTGCCTAAGTGTGTCCAAGTAGTGCAAAGCTGAGCTTGAACCTCTCCAGACTCTGGAGTCCATCAGACAGATTTCCCAATGGGAGACACATCATCCCCTCCCTCACAGAGTCTCTTACCTGTAACTTTCGAACCTGCCTGCAGAGCTGCAGGCAGTGCTCAAGGTTCAGGCCGATGTCACAGCTGTTCACCATCCTCTCCTGTGGAGGCCAGAGGTGGGGAGGTAAGGCTTGGCTCTATCTAGCCACTGGACCTGTAGCTGGGGCAGGGTCAGAGCACATGGATGCTGGCGGCTTCCCACCAAGGCTCCTACCATCACGGAGCCAGAGAACCGTGGGCCTTGCTCTTCCTCACCCAATCCTTTAGCTCCTGTCCCCAGCCCCTAAACACCCTATCCAGAGGAGCCCCCACCTTCTCCTGGATCCAGGCCTCTGCAAGCTCCACTCTCTGGAGGAACTCCAGGAAGTTGTATCTGTCTTCCAGGGTCTGGCCCTGCAGAGTCACTGCCTGCCTCAGCTTCTCCCAGAGGTCCCACATGGCCTCCAGCCTCCGGGAGACCTCTGCAGCCTGAGGGAGGCTCTGACTGAGGAGCCCTTCACCTTGCTGGGAGACAGGAGTAAGGGAGCAGTCAGCACCTTTCTTCTTGCCTCAGCCATCAATACTTTGGAGTAGGTTGGGCTGAGACTGGAGTTACCTTGGCAACAGAGGTCACGATCTGTTCATGAGCGTGGACCTCAGCCCTAAAGGCCTGGAGTTTCCTCAGGTGCTTCAGATAATCTTTTAAGTTCCCAAAAGGGCTCCAGGCTCTCAGTTGCTGGACCCGCTCCTGGATCCAGTCCTCAACCTGGTGAGGGTAGGGCACAGATGCTATGATGCTCCATCCTGAAGTTCCCCCACCTCCCCCTCTAATTTCTACTCCACACCAGCAAAGTCCAGGGGGTGGGCTACTGGCCTCCGGGGCAGGACTGGCAGTATCTATTAAACAAGAACCACCATTGCTGTGTGTCAGGCCAGGCTGAGCAAAGAACTTGGATGAGATTCCATTTCAGAGGTGTGAGCCCCCTGTTCCAGAAACCCATACCTCTGTGTTCCCTGCCTGTAGCTCTTCTTTGTCTTGGCCCTGCTCATGCTCAGCAAACAGATGAGTCTCAGCCCACAGGGGCTTCAGATCAAATGTTCTGGGCTCCAGCCTGGCCCTTGGGATACGGTTTAACTCTCCAAACATGTCTTGCTTATCATTGTGTTATGGTGTGACTGTCACCTCAAACTGCACAATGTAAGAGACAGTGGGCAGGGAATGGTCCTCTGACCTGGGTTGTTGCCCTGGTAAAGTTGCTTATCATCAAGGAGGTGTGCAGGGCCTGTCCCCGGCTCTCTGCCAGTTCCTTCACTTGAGCCCGGTGCTCCAACACGTGGTAAACCAGGTTCTGCCCTTTAGGGCTTAGAATCATTTTCAACTGCTCACGCAGAGCTGCCTCCTGTGGACAGATATTGTCTGCTGGTCTACACTAGCAACCTGGCCATTGACTTTCCCTTAGCTTTGCATGGTTAAGGGCTGGCTAATGGCCCTGACAATAGCCAAAACTGCTCTCCATTCAGTGACCTCAGAATAAGTAAATGCTCCCTGGGGTCCCTGCAGTGTGAACCATCCCAGCCTGGGTCTTTTCTTGAGCCACATCTACAATTCTATCCCCAGTTCTACAGACACATCAGCACTGTTTCTGAGCATGCACCCAGCCACGGAACCCCTCTTGAAGACGCCCCATCAGCAGCTATGTTCAGGTCCATCACCTTCTTGTCCTGGAGAGCTAGCACTCTCTGGAATATCGCATGCTTTCGGATCAACTGCTCCACCTCTTCCACTGAGCTTCCCAGGCTGCTGGCTTTTAGGAATGCCTAGATCAGTCCGTGGAAAGGTCAGAGGCTCTGAAGGCTGCCAGCACAGCCCAGACAATGCCCCTGGGGCCTGAGTAGCACTGACATGAACATGCACGTGGGCATGGGAGTGGTGAAGGGAACGGGAGCCCAGGTTGGAGGCCAGTAAGAGCTCATCCTCTGACAAAGTTGAGGTTATGGGCAATCTCTGTTAAACATGAATCTCAGTTCCATGGACAAGAGCAGGGCTAGATATGGCCTGGATAAGCTAGTAGAAACCATGGTACCAACCGAGAGGACTCATCCATAGCCTCTTTGCTCCATGTTCAAGAAAAAGCCAAAGACCTGCCCCCCCCTTCCAGGGAGGAACATTCAGGCAGGGAAGAGGAGCGGGAAGATGAGAGCTGGGGTTGCTGCGAGACCTGCCTCCTGGGCTGTGAGGAGCTTCGCCAGGTGCTCACACTGTCTGAGGAGGCACTGTTCTTGAAGCACGGCCTGCAGCCTCTCTTGCTTGAGTGCCCAGGCCTGGAACACTTGGTCACGTTCCTTCTGTAGGGTTTGAAGCCCATCCTGGACCTGAAGATGAGAATGTGGGAAGATGGGGTGGAGGAGGGGACACTGATAGAGCCCAAGAAAAACCTCCGAGAGGAGGCTGAGGAGCAGCAGGGGCTGGGGCGGGAAGGAGGCAGCCTGAGGGAGGACAGGGTAGCCTGGAACTTGGGAAAATGCCCACCTTAGCGGTTGTCCCTGCCGCCAGCAGTGCTTGGCCCATCTTAGTGGCCCGCTGCTGCAGCTCCTCCCTGGCTTCCAGTTCTGTCCACAGCCATTGGTGGGCTCTGAGCCTGAGCAAAATGCTGCTGGGATCCCAGGAGCCCTCCTCCATCTGCAGCTCCTGATGCACGCTGGCCACCCAGGAGGTGTAGTCCCTCGCCTGACCCCGGGGACAAGAGGAGCCATTGAGATGAGGCTATGACAAACAACTGCAGCCTGCCTGAACTCGTGCGCACATAGAAACACCAAGATGTCTGACTCAGGGCTTCTGGCAAGATTCACACATCCCTGTCACTTGGTTTCTCTGCCATCATCTAACCCAGCCCTCCCAGGGCCACGGACCTTGCTCTTGCCCCTTCTGACACTTTCCCTCCAGAATTGGAGGGCCTCAATGCATGTACACATCTGGACACACATGTACCCCTCCCAAGGGAAGCAAGCCCTCACCGCTGTGTGGAATCGGACCAGGAGATACGCTTGTTCCAACAGAGCCTTGCGCTGTTCCATGCGCAGCTGGAGGGCCTCCCAGGCTTGGGTCACAGCTTGCTGCTTCTGCTGGACAGCAGTGAAGGCCTGAGGACACAGCCTCTGCAGCCTGCCTGCAGCCTTCAGCAGTTCCTGCAGCTGGCAGGTAAGGGTAGGAGAGGAGAGTTAATTCTTCACAGAGGCAGAAGGACCTGAGCATCCCGAGGTATGTTCCCATTCTGAGTAATCAATCCCAGAACTTCTTGGGCAAAGCTCTGCCATGCACGACAGGCCCAACGGGAAGAACAAATCAGCCAGGCTGGAGGTCCTGTGAGGGACCCGAGAGGCAGGGCTAGCAGCCTGCTTACCTGCTGCTCCATGCCTGCCAGCTCACGTTCCAGTCCTTCATGTCTCTGGAGCTGGTTCTCCACCCCATGTAGATCCTGGGCCACATCGTTCGAGAGGCTTGTGGCTTTCTCCTAGGGTAGAAAAGCATCAGAGCCGGGCGGTGGTGGTGCACCTTTAATCCCAGCACTTGGGAGGCAGAGGCAGGCGGATTTCTGAGTTCGAGGCCAGCCTGGTCTACAGAGTGAGTTCCAGGACAGCCAGGACTACACAGAGAAACCCTGTCTCGAAAAACCAGAAAAAAAAAAAAAGAAAGAGAGAGAGAGAGAAAAAAAAGAAAAAGAAAAGCGTCAGAGCGGGGTGGAAAGGGAGGGTGGGGTCCTGAGTCTGGGAGATCCACTTCCTCTCTGAGTTCCTACCTGAATCTGGGTAAGGACTTCTAGAAGGTCTCTGTGGACTCTGAGGGTGGTTTCGGCGTCACTGAGCAGGCGGCCTTGGGCCTGGGTCAACTGCCACAGTTCAGACCAGGCAGCCCTACCATGCATGAGGACAGCTGTGGATCAGCTTGCACTGCTTTCCTGGTCCGATCAGCCCCGTCCTCTCGGTGCTCCAGTATGGGGCTTTCCCTTTGAGTCTTCTGCTTTTGGCTCTCCTTTCCAACAAGCGTTGCCCCCTTCCCCAGAGCCTCTCCAGTGTCACAGAAGTGTAGCTGTGTGCGTGGCCCTACCATGCTCAACACGTCATAGCTCTTTAGTGCCTAACACTGCTCACAACTTTTATGTCTGATTTTCAGTATGCTAACTGATCTCGTTACAAATGATTTGAACAGAGAGCCCCTATCTCTCTGCTTCCTGTCCTTTACATGCTTTCCCCAGGCTCAAAGGCTTCTTCCAAGCCAGACTTTATGCTGAGGGTTATGAGAGGATCCTGACCTCTCCTTAGGCTCTTAGGCTAGAGAAGGGCCCTTAGCAGGTGGGTTGACACCTAGGACTATTGCATGGAAGGGCTGTGAGCATGGGGCTTGGAGCTCCCAGCTCATGGGGAGACTTCCTTTCCAGCCCTGGTAGTTTCTATCCACAGCTCTTCCTCCAGGCCCTGGGAGGCAGTAATTGGAAAAGTGTCCCTGGGAGCTGGAACTATCTGGGTGGTACCCCCAGTCTTATCTTCTACCACAGACCACAGCCTGTGGAGGCCTGGCATCTGAGAGACCATTCCCTCTCTAGCTAAGCAAGCAGGGCCCTGTGACCCTCAGTATGTGCCACCCTTCACTAACCCCCAAGACACTGGGCCGGCACCCTCCTCAAAACCCAGGCCCTTGCAGGCCGTCTCACTCACTGTAGATCCTGCTGCCTCTGGTGAGCTTTGAGGGCAGTGTTGTGCCCATACTCTAGTAGGCTTTCTGCCAGCTGTTGGCAGGTTTCTACTCGCTGGGCACCAGTTTCAACCTGGTACTGAAACTTGGTAAACTCAGTGCAGAGTTGCTAAGGAGAGAGGGGAGCAGACAAGGTATTCAGCAACAACTTAGACCCGTGAGGTCTCAGTCTAGCCCAGAGGCAAGTTCCATGACTCCACTCTGCCTTCTCCATCCAGCCCATCAGGGCTAGCCCCAACCATCCAGAATCACGTGTCTTCCCTGCTCCGAGCCTCTCACCAGCACATGCTCATGGTCCTCTCCAAAGCTGTCCCCTCCTCTGGCCACCTGCTTCCTGCTGGCCAGCCAGCTCTGCAGGTCCTCAGCTTCTCTCATGAATTCATGTAGTCTCAGGGTCCCCTCCAGCTCCTGCCCCCTGTGGTGACAGCCAGGGGTTCCCCAGATGTTAGCTACCTGCTCATCCCACTGGGGTTCCTAAGAGCAGGAGGCTGAAGAATGGAGTTATTCATGATCCCTGCCCAAGCCCTTGACTTGGGAAGAAGACATAGGAAGGCCAGGGTAGGGGACAGAGGGCACTGGTAAGAGATGGAGAGCTGGGAATCAAAGGCCCAAAGTCGGGCTACGTGGGCTTTTACTGAAGAACTTGTAGAGAGCCGAAAAGTACACAGCAAAGACTCAGCCTTCTCCTGGGGCATCCCTAAAGGCCTGGGTTCCCAGCAGCATGGGGCCACGGCAGGGAACAGTCAGCTGTGGCTAGGGTCCCTGTGCCCACTGATGAGAGGGGCCACAATGTCCCTCACCGTTCAGCTGCCAGCTTCTGTAGTGCCTGCAGCTTCTCCCGTACCACACCCAGCCGCTCAGAAGCCTCAAGTCCAGCAAGGACCTGGGGCCTCTGCTCGAGATCCTCCATGGAACTCCAATAAAGAGCTATCTCCTGCTGCAGCATCTGCCAGGGTCAGAACACAGGCAAGGTGGTCCTTCATCTTCTCTCTCGCACACACGACCTACCCATTCACCCCCCCCAGGCATTCATTCAACAATGCACAGGCTTATCTCTCTAACTCTCCACTCATTCACTTACCAGTATACTCACCCACCTATCCGCTCATCCGTGTTCGCCCACTCAGCTTCACCCACTGACCCATTACTCACTTACACTTACTGTTTTACAAAATGAAGATAGGCTCTCTGCCCCCAGAGGGATCACTACTTAGCAGGACATAGTAAATGGTGGGAAGGCTGGGACAAGGATGGGAGGGTTCAGGAGGCATCAATCTGGACCCCAACACAAAGTGTAAAAGTGGACAAAACTGAGCAAGTCTGTCTGCATGCTCGGCACATGGAAGCTGCATTTGGCCAAGCCTGCAGCCATACCCTTCAGGAATAGCTCACTGGAAGTCCTCAGCCATGAGACACCCCAAAACAATGACCACTGAGGCATTTCCATGACAAGAAGGAGGAATACAGTGGGGCAGAGGCTGTGGAGCCTTTGGTTCTAGGCTCTGGCCTCTCCTTCTTACCAAGGATGCTTGTGGGAAGGGATGGGTTTTAGGATGGCAACTGGGTTAACAGAAAGGATGATGCTTAGAGCCCCAGAGAAGGACACCTCTGAAGGACATGTGGTGGGCTGGAGCACATGACTGAGGAGTAGGAAAGGGCTGGGGAGAGATGAAACAAGAGGGGACAGAGGGACCCCAAGTCCTCATGGAGAGGTGAGTCCAGCAATCAGCCCCAGATGGTAATACACTCTCCTGAGTCACAAGGCTGGGCTGGCAGGTGTTCAGGGTGGAGGGCCAATCAGGAATTGGGTGCGTGGCGGATGGGGATAGGAAGGAAAGAACAGGGTTCTGTGTCTCAAGACATAGGATGTGTGTGCCCTTTGGAGTGTCGCAGACTTCCTTCTGGCCCACTGTCACCCACGTGGAGATGCTCAGGACACAGTACCTGGTGTTTCCTGGTGAGCCCAAAGGTGGCTTCCTCGTTGCTGCCATAGTCCTGACTGCTCACCAGAGGCCACTTTTCCTCCACCCAGGCCTCCATCTCTGACACATTCAGGAAGTACTGCAAAGAATGACAGTGACTTATCCTGTTCATCTTACCTGGGACCCTTCATCACCCATCATGGTCGGCAGCAGCCTGCAGAGAAGCTTCTGGGAACTTATGGGAGGGAGCTAACTCTTAGCCCAGAGCTTTCACCATGGGCCTCCCTCCCTGAAGGTCCCACGAGTCCTCTCTTCCACAGGTGGTCTGCTGCTCTGTAGACCCCATCCTCTTGGTCTCCTACCTGCTGGACAGTGATAGCCTGCTGCAGGCAATGGGCATGTCCCTCACACGCCTGCTCCAGTTCTGCCCAGTGGACTTCTAGCTTCTGGCACTGCTCCATGATATGCTGAGCTCGAGGGTGTCCAGAGGCTGCTAGACTCTGGCCAGAACTTAGTACCCTGTGCATGTGTCCTACATGACCTTTCACCTCAGCCTGGAGCACCTGTCACAGAACAATGGTAGTCTCTTAGTCACAGATGTCCAGATTAGAACCACAGATGTGTCTTTAGTTCTGGATCACTAAGATAAGGATACCTGGAGAAAAGTGGATTTGGAAATCAGGATACCTGAGGAGAATAATTTAGCGGCCAGGACACCCTGAGTCGTGGCAGGGGGCTTCAAAGGTCAGGGAATGAGATGTTGGGGGGCTTGGCAGGATGCAGATGATGCTACCTACCTTGTGCTTTCTTTGAAGGCTCTGGGCATCATGCCAGCACTGGGCAGGGCTGACAGGACCGGCACTGAGCATGTGCTCAGCCACCCACGTGAGCTCCAGGTTGCTAAGGAGGTTAAATTCATACAGCTCGACTGAGGCCTGCAGCTGCTGCTGTCGGGTGGCCAGCTTGCTCTGCAGGGATTTGAACCTGGTAGGAAAGAAGATAAAGAGAATGGGGAGGGAGTGAAGACAAGGTCATGGTCTCTTCCTCATCCCCACCAGGGACCCATGAGGAACAAGGCCAGGGAACCGAGGGAAACCTCTGCAGACAGGGAAGCAGCTTTTGGCCTTCGTGGTGCAATGTCCTGTTTAGAATGCCCAACTTTGCCCTGGCACTCCCACCCCAGGATGACTGTACTCAGAAGGGAAAGAGTTTGGATGCCTAGGTCCTTTAGGTGCTACTCAGTCCTTAGGTTCATGAGGCGTCTATGGAGGGTGAAGATGGCATAGCCACCTCTGGTGACACTTCTGGCTCTCCTCCAGGATGGTTAAGGAAGTGAATGCATTGTGGGTCTGAGAGATGAGGGCAGCCATCTTGCTGGCCAGCGCCTGGCTCTTGTCCTCTAGTTGGTAATGCTGTCTCTGCAGCCTCCGGCTGGAGCACAAGTCCTGCCCAGTTTCTGTGCTCTGCAGGGCTCCCTCCAGATGCTCCATTGTCTCCCTGACATCCTGAGGAGGGTGACAAGAGGTGGCATTCACTTTTCCACTGCTGCTCAGCAGGCAACCCTGCCAGGGCTCTGAGTCTACAATGTTCCCAGCCTCAGATTCACCAGGGAACCATCATGTCCTACCAACTGCTTGTGTGCAAACTACTTATACACATCTTCTTCTCTAGGTGACTTGAGTTGTGATGATCACATGCTATATACACAGAAGCCCCTGCCTGCTGCTGGGCAAAGCCATGTTTAACCTTCTCTTGGCCAGAGCTTTATATAGGACTTCTTGGAGCCACTCTCTCCAGCACTGTTTTGCCTGAATTCATCCTGCCCTAGCCAAGTCCTGGTCTTCCTCCTTGTGTCCCCACCCCCACCCCACATTCCCCAGGGACCTGTAGTAGTTCTAGGAGCTGGCTCTGCTGTCTGGTCTTCGGCAGCCTATCCCCTTGATCTGCCATCTTGTGGTTCAACTCTTCCCACTTGTGTTTAAGGCTTTGAAGTCTGTCCTGTATGTCCTCCTGTGCATATGGGTTGCTATGCAACATTTCTTTCCCAGCCTGGAACAGAGACAAAGGCCCGGGCTGTTTTTGATGAGCTTCTAGGATGACCACCAACCACAGCCTACCCAGGGGGCAGAAGGCAGGTTGTGGACTACAATTGCTTTCCACTAGCTACCTGAAATGGTGGCAGCTTTCCGAGCTGATTTGAGTGTCTATCTAGGAAGACACCTGCTAAGTGCAGAAGGCAGAGGGGACCCTTCCTTCAGTGATTGTGCTCCATAGAAATAGGCAGGGCAGTATATGTTGGGACTCTGAAGACACATCTACAGGGCCATACACCTGCTGTCCAGCATCCTCACCTGCTGTAGGTCCTCCATGTACCTATAGGAGGCTAATAGCTCACTCTTAATTATTTTGTGCCACTTGAGTTTCTGCAGAATGTTGCTGCATGCTTGGGAACGTTCATCTGCCACCCTGGGCCACTTCTCCTCCATCCACTGCATTAGACCATCTGCAGCCTGCTTCCATTCCTGCCCGAGAACCAGGAGAGAGTGGGTCTCAGAACCCAGGGTGAGGGTTGGCACAAGGACCTAGGGAGAGTGCTCTGTGAGGAACACAATACCCAGAGCCAATTCTCCGGTACAGGGGAGGTAGAACTTGGATTTTTCTGATCCCCAAATGGGGTAAGGACACTGTGCTCAAAAAGTAGAAATGCCTGTCAGGTCCTACTCTGACAGATGACACTGGATGGAGAGTGGCTCTCTTAATCTAAACAGGTTCTTGGAGGCCTGGCCTGGCTAGAGAGTCTCTCTAGTGTCTGAACAAGCATCAACGCTAAGGTCTGAGGCTGTTTCCCTCCACTCAGACAAACTCCTGGAGTGTCAGGAGAGAGGGAAGGCATGTAGTAGGTGGGGGGTTGGGGGGGCGTTAGTCAAGGGGCCCTTCTCTGAGAAACACAGTGACCACAGCTCCAGCTTCCTTTATGGAAACAGCCAAGGCTGAGGAAGTGTTCAGTGAACAGGATCACACTGCCTCCGTGCCTCTATGGGCCCCAGGGCACTGCTTCTGGAGATGCCTCCTGGAGTCTCCTGGAGACTAGGGAGTCACCTGCAACTGGAGGGAAGCCAGCAGCTGTCCCCTTCTCTGGTCACTCCTCTCTTGGACCCTGGTCCACTGTGCCTGGGCACTGTGCAGCAGCTTTCTGATCCTGAAGTGTGGGGAGAGGAGAGGGCTCTTTTCTATCCTGAGGACACTCCCCTCCCACCACCCAGCCCAAGAGAACCATGTCCCACCCAGCCTCAGAAAGCAGCAGTCCGCCCAAGTGCTGAGAGACTGCCGCAGGTAGGTGGCTCACTTGTGCACGGCAGCAGGGTGGCTCAGAAGGAGCTTCTCACCATGTGCACGCAGGGTCTCTGCCCGTGATCCCAGGGTGCTGCGGAGCCACCCTAACCCCTGGTGCTGTTGCAGCAAGTGCTGGGCCTCCCTTATGTCCTCCTGGTACAGAGACCTGAGGTCAGCTCGTCTTCAGGGCCTTCCTGCCCACCCTGGCTTCTGGACTCAAGGAGGCCAGCTCCCTCTAGGGGCAGTAGGGTGACACTTCAGTTCTACTTCCCAAACTTTACCCCAAGATTGTCCAGCTGCAGTAAGGCCTCATGGCTGGCACAGGTGGCTATGAAACCATCCATTTCTTGGCCAAACCTCTGCAGCTCCAGCCCCTCCCAAAGCTTCTGCTGTCTCTGCTCCCACAGAGCCTTCAGCTGCTGGCTGTGCTGGCCTAGGAGCCTTAGAGCACTGGCCACCTCTTGGGACTGTGGAGAGTCTGAGACTGCCACCAGCTGACCCTGAGCCTCCAGCTGCTGCAGCCTGAGAAGAACAACGGAGCATCAGACCACACCCAGCCCTTCTCACAGCTGCTTCAGCCCTCATCACAGAGCTCTGAAGTGAGGCTAACCAGCTGGCCAGTCCTATCGGTTCACTTTCTCTCAGGACAGCTGTGCCCTGGCCTATGAATAAGATGGAATGCAACAGGCTCAGCAGAGAGCTCGTGACCCATGTCACACCCTCCTCTAAGTAGATGGCTAGTGGCATACTGTGACAAACACAATGTAGATCCCTCGATCCACCCACGCCTGCTGTCAGGACCGCTGGAACCTCTGACCCAGCAGAACAGGTGCCCTTTAGGATAGATGGTGCCCCCACATCTTGGAAACAGGTGGCATGGCTGTGGGAGGCAGGAAAAGCCAGCACTTCCTCTAAGCTGCTGCAATCCTAAAGTAGCTGGGTGTGTGTGACAGATGGGGGCAGGTGCTTGTTTCTCAGGGCCCATTTGATACCTGCCAGGATCCCTGGGGAGGGCAGAGCCTGGGGGTTGTTCGTGGTGGCCTTGCTTGCTCACAAGGCTGCACATCACTTCTGAAGGAAGTGAGGGGGTAGCGATCTTAGTCCATTGGTGGGTCCTGGGCCCTTTGACTGCAGAGGCCAGTAGAGTATGTACTGGTTAGAATGGGAAGCTAGACTTGGGGGATACCATCATCACCCCTGTAGGAGGGTAGCTGGGCTGGAACTGAGAATCTCTCTGTCAGTTCAGTGTCTGGAGGCCCTTCCTAAAGTGAACAGGTTGTCTGACATAGGCTTGGGTATCTCCTGAAAATTGCCTGCAGTACTATGCTAGATACCAGCCTGACTCATGACCCTGGACACATTGTGTTGGCTTTCTTTTATGAACTTGAAATCCTCCCGCCTGCCCCAACCTCTCTCTCCACAGGCAGGTCTCCTCCTGTAGGACTCCATGCTTCCTCATCAGCTGCTGGGCTGAGGCCACATCCTCCAGCTCCTCTTTGCTGCACAGTTGAGCCTGGATGCTCTCTGCCCACTGCAGCAGCTTCTGGCTCTCTTGGAGGAGGCCTTGCTGAGCCCGAGCCTCAGTCTGGACCTGGACCTGCTGGGCCATCCGTCCTTGTGCTTGCTTTAGCAGTGACTGCAACATCAGGACCTGTTCCCAAAGCAGCCAGCCCTCTGTGGGGCCTGACTCCATCACCCTGCAGGATGTAAACCATGACAGTCAGTGCCCCAGCCCTGTGTCTCCTGGAAAAGTAGTGACAACACTGAGTGTCCACCCCTCCCCTAGCTAGACACAGCACAAGCAGGAGGCTCTCCCTTTCTCTGAGTGTTGGAAGCCAGACCCCAAGGCCTTCTCAGAGGTCCTGATGAAAGGACAGAGGTCATGTCCTTGTCCAGGGGTAGACCATACAAGGCCCAGATTGGGGCCTGGGCCTTAAAGGAGTTAAGGTTTTGGTTCCTGGGAACCTTGGCTTTCCCCTCTGAAAAGCCGTGGTTATCAGTCCTAAGATAGCTGTGTCTGGGGTATGCTTTATTCTCTTGCCAGCATTGTCTGATTCAGCTTTCTCATGGCTTTGGCCATTCTCCTCCTGCACACAGTATATAAGATGCTATACTATGCAAAAGTTGTTTGGGATATGGCAGCTTGTTCGAGACCTCCCAGCTCTGGCTTTTTTGTCTTTTTTATCTTCTCACTTCCTGGCCCTCCCACTTGAGGCTTGTTAGGGAAAACCGTCCTGCTGGTCTGGGACATGAGAGCACATTCTCTGGCCAACTATCTCTGGCTGCTGCCCACACCCTTCCAATACCATATCTTGGCCATCTCCCCATCCCAGTTCCTGTGTCCTCCTCATTTTATTAGAGCTTCTCTCTGTCCTCGCTGTCTCCCCAGCCACCATCACCATCCTGAAGCTGGCCATACTCTATGGTTGCTCTTTGGAGGTAGGAGATCTTCTTCTCCAATACCAGGACCTTCTGCTGGATCTGCTGCAGGGTACGATGGCTGTCCCCAGGCCTTCTTGTTCCCAGAGCCTCCAGCCTGCTTATCACACTTAGCAGTTGGGCTTGTGTGGGTTCAGACTCCTGTAAAAGACTGCACACCTCCATGCCACATGTCAGCTGCAGGAGTTTCTCCTCCTTCAGGGCCTCCAGCTGGTGCCACCTGAGAAGAGGATCCAGGGATGTATCCAGCACAGGGACACTTCCTATCCACCCAATGACACCTACCAATCTGAGGCTTTAGACTGAGGCCACCAGGACAGAAGCTTCAAGGCTGGTGGTCCTCTGGCCTATACTCACTGTCTTTGACACCATCTAGCGTTTCCACCTGCAGATGCACCAAGCAAGGTCCCGCTCCACCCTGCATTCCCACCCCTTATTGTCACCTCTGCTTCAGGTCCTCCTGTTGTTGTTGGATTTTTGAGATGTGTCCTGGACATCTTTGCTTCAGTTGTTCAGCAATGCTGATAGCCTCTTCCCAGTGGCCTTTTCCAGTGGCCAAGGTCATGAGAACATTCTGAGGAAGAAGAGGACCCAGACCTCTGGGAAACAGGCTCTTCTTTCCCCATACTCCCTTTGGGCGACAAAGGACCTTGGGATGCTTGTCTCTTAAGACATCCTGCTCACCTTGAGAAGGAAGCATCTGAGTACATTAGTCCCCAGAGTCAGACCTATAGCCTGGGCCCCTCCCCAGGCAGGATCAGAACAAACATGGAGAACGGGGCAAAACCATGAAGCAATGCTGGAGCGGTAGAAACTCTGGTCCCCATTACCTTCGTGACTTACCTCATATTTGAGCTGTGTGACCCCTAAGTTGTCACCCTGGGGCTGCAATGTTTGGAACAGGGCTATCTGCTCCTCCAGCCAGGACTGGAGCTCCCTACAGGAGCTGTAGAAGCTAAACAGGGAGACTGTCTCCTCCAGTCGGGCCCTGTGAAGCTGAGGAAGAAGCCAGGGTCAGGGTGTAGGGACAGTGTCCCATGGGAGGTCAGGGGTGTGTCTGTGCCCACACAAGCCACTAAGAGGATCAAGTCTCATCTCCACAACTGTGTCACATCTGTCCCGTTGATATCTAGCAGAGGGAGCTGGTGAGAGCTGAGGGTGTCATGACAGACCTTTTGGTTAGTTTCTTATTTCCTTAAGGGGCTTCACCTTGCTCTGAAGGTCCACACGCCTCTCCAGGCTCTGCTCTAGCTGCTGGCCCACTGGTCTCCAGAGCCATGGGCCTCAGCCTCCTTCACTGGGCCTATTCCAAACTTTTCTTCAGGACCCAGTTGACTTCTCCAGTATTGTCTGCCCTTGGATCTGTCTTAACTCTCTCTTTAATATCCTTTCCACAAAGGTGCCATCCTGACTCTAACCTAACCTGCAGAAGGCCCCATACCACACCCATTTAAATATCTGCTGACATCTTGGTCATACTGTAAGATCCTTCAGAGTAGGAGGCACGTCAGCCACTGCTCTGTCCCTGGGATCAGGAGACAGACTCTAGCTCAGTGCTTCTCAACCTTCTAGATGCTGTGACCCTTCGATACAGTTCCTCATTCATGCTTGGTGACCCCTAATCATACAATTATCTCCATTGCTGCTTCATAACTGTAATTTTGATGTTATAAAACATAATGTAAATATCTGATATGCTACCCCTGTAAAATGGGTGTTCAACCCCCAAAGGGGCCTTGACCCACAGGTTGAGAACACTGCTCTAGCTTACGGTAGGGGCATGGTTAACGCCCCCTCCCTTCTCTTTCTTTTGGTGCAGGGAATTGACCCCTCGAACCTTAAGTACACCAGGCAAGCATGATTCTCCCTCCTTTTGGGGGGGTTGGTCATGGGCACCAGGACTTATGCAATCTCAGCCCTCAGAGCATCTGGGGATAGATGTGCTACATGATCCACTATGGAAACTTCTTAGACAGAGAGCATTACCTTTGCCAGGGCCCTCAGGGTCTCATAGTTCTGCCTCAAGTCAGCCTGTGTCTGGAGTATGGTGTTGGAGTCGAGGTGAAAGTCATACACAGTCTGGAAAGCTGTCCTTGGGTCTTCTCCTAGAAAGCCCAGGGCAGATAGCACCTGTGTAGAAGGAAGGCAGTGTGTCCACACCCAGCTCCTACCACGAGGCAGGATCTCCACCGAGATGGGGGTCTGTGGTTGTACCTGCGGTTTCTTCTCTGTGCTGTGGATGACGGCCATCCTGTTCTGCCTGTCTCCCAACTCTTTAAGCTTCTGGGTGCTCAGAGCTCCCTCTGGAAGCCATGAGACACACACTGTTATGAAAGTACAGATTCAAGGGCTGCTTGGGGCCCTCCTCTTCCCTACTCACTACAAGGTAGGTCAAGGTCATTAGGTACCTATTGCTTCCCTATGCCTGGCTCTGTGTGAAGAGCTGTTAGAGACTAAAAGGATTGAGGCTGGACCTTCCCGTTGATGCTCAGGAATTTCTCAGGATTGAGGCTGGACCTTCCCGTCGAGGCTTATGGGTCTCTTAGGACTGCAAAACTCTCAGATCCAGAACAGGTGGGACATTATCCAGGGTTACACTTGGGGTAGGCAAGGCCTGTCGTCATGTGTAATAAGTGCCATGAGTGTCCAGGGGGAAGAAAGGGCAGATGGTCTGGATGTTTAAAGAGGGCAAGACAAGGCCCAGTGGAGTCTGTCCAAGAAGGAGCGTTTGCATGGAAAGGCATAGTGCTGTGGTGGCAGCAGGTAGGCAGACAGGAGACATGGGCCAGCACCCCTCTCTGTGAGGGAGAAACCACCTCATCTCTATTTTTCTGTCCTACGTCCCTGGGAAAGTTTAGACAGCAGCAGCAAGCAAACCACTCAGAATGGGGTACAGGCATTCATTGTAAGAGCAGGCATAGAAAGAACTTGGAGGAAGGACTCAGAAAATCTCAAACTCTACTGAGTTCACATGATCATCTCATCCAAACTTTGCTGGTGGCTGTCTAGAGGCAGGGACATGCTGCCCTGGGCAACACAGGCTGAATCAGATAACTCCAGTTACTTCTGTCTGCTGAGCCAAAGCTGGGAATAGGCCCAGTGGAGCAAGCTGAGGCCTAAGCCCTGAGACAGCATATGCCTTTAGTCCCAGAATCCTGAGCTCAAAGTAGCTTCCCCTCAGCTACTTCCATTTGGGTTTCAGGTGGCCTAGACAGGCGCTGGGAAGATGTATGACCTTCCCATTGCTGACAGACTTCAGGTTAGAGTCTCACTGTGGGTTATGACCTTGTACCTTTGGAGAAGAAGGGTATCTGTTGATGTGAATACTGGCTGCCTGGTGCTGCTAAAACTCGAGTCTTACCCTGGGGTCCTCCAATGCTGTCTCTGTCAAGCCTTTTCTGATCTTCTGGAGGTTCCTCCTATATAGAGGGACAGAGGTCCTGTTTAGGTGACCAAGTGGCTTCCTACCTGGCAGAAGCACAAACTCTGTGCCCCTCCTGAAATAGTGGGAAAAGCAAAGACTGAAAATGCCCGGAGCCAGGCCTGGCATCTCTACCTCTGCCTATACCAGATGTGGATAGAGGATGTGCAAAAAGGCATGAGAGAGCGCCCATTATTTAACAAGTAACACTTGGGAACAGCAGGGCTCGAGGTGCAGGAAGAAACCACTATCACCCTCTAGCAAACGAGTTGTGTTGGTGTAATGTAAGGCTAGGAGTGAAGTGTCACAGGCCCAGGGCTTGCTTGTGTGTGTGTGTGTGTGTGTGTGTGTGTGTGTGTGTGTGTACTTGGACAAGGAATCAAAAGTTCTCTTTGCTGGAGGGTCCTTAGGCCTGCCCCATCTCACCTCGATTAACTCATTTGTAAACGGTGGTGGTGTTAGTGACTTGCTAACACATAGATCTGTTTTTTAAATTATTTAATTATGAAATCTGGGAGTAAACTTAAAGGACAAGGCCTCGGAGTGTGAGGAATCACCAGCAGGCTGGGGCCAAAGTCTTTTCTTCAGCTATCTACCAACTTTATGGCCAGGTTAGGTGAAGCAATCTGGAGGCCCTAAATGCAGCCCTAAATGCATGGGACAGGGCTGGGCAGAGAAAGGGGAGAGGGATGTGGGGCTTTTTTAAGATTGCAAATTAAGGAACTGAAAGTGACTTCAGGACTTTCACGACTTCAGGTCGTGAAAATATAGAGGGTTTTTTTTGTTTTTGTTTTTGTTTGTTTTTGTTTTTTGTTTTTTTTTTTGTTTTTTTTTTTGGAGAAACTGCTTAATGTTCTTAAGCTGTGCTGGGCAGACTGAGCCAAGCCCAGATGTACTCGATGCCCTTAACTGATTTACAGACAGAACTCCAAATGACCTATGACTGGAGATATTGGAATCTGGGGTCGAGGCTGGGGGATGTACCACCAGCTCTGGGCAGGGCCACAAAGACTCTCATTGGGGGAGGGAGGAGCATTGTAGCACCAGTGTTCTGGGGAGAGCTCACATTTGGTGTAGGAGGCACGAGTCTGGGTTCTTTCCATGTCCCGGTGTGCACCATGAGTGACACCAGGGCTGCGGCAGCCCGCGCCTGATCCTCTAGCTCCTGCAGTTCCGCTGCAAAGGCGCGCACGCCTTGCTCCAGGCGCAGGTGTTGCTGCAACAGGGCCTCGGCGTCTGCCTGGTCCTTCCCGCAGAACGCGCTCTCCAGTCGTTTCTGCCGCTGGAGAAGCCAGGACGCCGCCTCGGCCGAGTCAGAAAAGTACTGTGGAGAGGTAGAAAGGACTGAGGGCTAGCAGGTCCCTGTGCGCCTAGCCGCCCCGCGTCCCGCCCCGCCCCGCACGCTCTACCTGCCCAACTAGCAGTGCTGTTTGCAGCCGGGCGCGCCGCCTTGCGGCTCCACTCCAGAGCAGCTGCCATGTTCGCTGAACTGCTTCCGCCCTTTCCAGAAGATCTGGCTGTGCCAGGGGCTCTCTGACACTGAGGTTGCGTCCCCTCTGCAGGAGATCTACACACACAGCCTGGTGGCGATGGAGTTCGGTTTCCAGAGCCTACCAGGGTTGAGGAGTGGGGAGATTTTAAAGGGAGGGAGAGGGTGACTCCTGGAGTCCCAAGCCTGACTGTCAAGGAGATCGGGATGTTAGAGACCAAGGGAGTGGACACCTTGTGTTTCTGCAGAGCAGTAGCGATCTGAGTGAGGTCGTGGCCCAGGGCTGCCTTCTCCATTAGCTGTCTGTGCTCTTGCAACCAGGCCTCCTCCTCCCCACAGCTGTGCAGGAGCTGTGCCCGCTGGAGGGTCTGCTCTAGCAGGGTGCGTCTGGGGGACACAAAGGGCCATTAAAGGGTTTGGGGAAGAGTAGAGAATGGAGAGGGGGTTGCCCACCTGATCAGATGTGCCCCTTAGGCACGATTTTCCCAGAATGGGAAAAGGCCGAGGCTTGGGGGCTCAGGGGTAGTGTAGAGGAAGTTGCCAGACCAGGATTTCTGCTTGGGCAGGAGATGATTGAAGTTACAGGAAGGTTCTACGGACAGTTGAGGAGTTGAAGCAGACCCTTACCGGGCTCTGACAAGAGACACCAGGCTGTGGTGGAGCTCTCCCAGTGCTAGGGCTTTAGCCTGCAGCATCTGCACACTGGGGGCCTGGGAGGAGCCCAGCTCTGCCGTCTGGTGGACAAGACGATTCACATGGGTCCTGTGGGCTGACACCTGGGCCTCCAGCAGGTCATGGCTCTGCAGCAGCAACACTATGTCTGCCAGCTGTTGCCCACAGGCTGTGGAGCTGGCCAACACCTGGCCAGAGATGCGTGGTCAATGCATCGCCAGGTGCGGGATAGCTGTGCCCATGAGTGTTGGGAAAGGACCTCCCAGAGTTCAGCTGATCTACTGCCCACCTGCAGCTCCCCAAGCTGGTCGGTGGCAGTCTCCACCTCCTGCAGCAGAATCAGCACAGCCCGTGTGCCTGCCATGTGCTTCCTCTCCTCCTGTAAACACTGCAGGAGCCTCCGCCAGCGCCCAGTGATCTCCTTCTGCCTAGATAGCAAGAGGAAAGGGTGGTCTACCTCAGGTTGGGGCAAGGAAGCTTGTCTGCCTGGAACAGTGGCACCTCTGGAGCCAGGGTAAGGTACAGATGTGGACAGCCTGGCATGGGTGGTTAGGCAGAGTGTGTTAACCATCAGAAGGGAGCCTGGAAGGTTGAGATGTTCACACACAAACACACACACACACACACACACACACACACACACACACACACACTAGTCCCTATCTCTATAAATGAACACCATCTTTCCAGCCACACAGACAAAAACCATGTTGGCTCAGATTCTTAATCCCAGTCTGTTTGCAAATCCTGTTTGGTACTATCTTCAAAATACATCCATTGATCTGGGCAATCACAACTGTAGTCTCAGGATACAGGAGGAGAGGCCTAATTGCCAGTCTCAAGGCCAGCCTGGTCTATATAGTAAGTTCTGTCTCTGTGATACCCTGTCTCAGAATCAACATAGAAAGTTGTGTTCAGAATGCCACCACTGTATCACCTCACTGCTTTCCGTCAGGATTGTACAGCGGCTTCATAACTAAACGGGCCTGGCCCTCTGCCTGCCCGTCACAGCATCCACGTGATCACTGGTACAAATGTTACAGCGTGTCACTCCTATGGCAAGACTCCCTGATTTCCTAACTTTCTGAGGAAAAGGAAAAAAAAATCAAACCAAATGCCTTTGCTTTACTATTTAAGGCCCAGTCTGTCCTCCATCTCTCCCCTCCCTGGCCCCATCCCCTCTGACTTGGTCATGTGACCACTGCCCACCATTGCTACTTTTCAACCTTGTAAGGGATACAATCACTTTGGTGTGCTGTTCTAGATGTTCCCTCTGCCGAGGCCAGTCTGTCCTCCATATATGCATAACCAGCTCCCTCGCTTATATCTCTGGGCCACGCCCACTTCCAGAGGCTCTTCTCTGGTGAGTCTGCTTATTGAGTGTGCTAGCTACTCAGAGGCTACCCAGAAAGAACCATGCTTTACCAGAAGAGGTAAGTTATACCTGGTGGTGAACTTATGTGTCCATGGGAGATTGATTATCTCTTAAGAGTGAACTTTGACTCCACAAACCACCTCGCTCTTCTGTGTGTTGTAGGGAGGCTTTGGCTTTTTGTGAGGGTGGGCTTACTTGCTTGGACCTCACCTGCAGGCCACATCTGGCCAGCTGTGATACTCTTCCTGTTGGAGGATATCTGCCATCTCGCCCAAGGCCTGGAAGCGCCCTTCCTGGGGCAGGATGCCAGCCTCCAGCATGCTCAGCCTCTGAATGGCTGCCTCTACTGTGGCTGGGTCAGTGAGGGAGGCTCTGGCCTGGTCTAACATCTGCTCTGCATCATTTAAAAAGCTTTCCCGGTGGGATGCCTTGGATTGAAAGCGGCGGGCCAGAGTGTCCAGTCGCTCCAGCTGTAGCAGCCTTTGCTGCATGGCCTGGCTCCTGGAGGCCTCTACCCTCTCTAGTTCTGCCCAGCGCTGAGCCAGTTCTGCAGGACCCAGGCCCTCTCGAGGTAGGAATGGCCTTCGGTTTTGGGCTCGGAGTGTTGTCTGTAGCTGGAAGAGCAGGGCCTCTGTGGCTCCTCGCTGTTGCAACCGAGGTGGCTTTTCCTGCATACGGAAGGAGGCAAAGGCTGCCAGTAGCTGGCGCATAGCAGGTAGTGAGTCTGGGAAGCCCCGAGCTTCCAGCTGCATCTGCTTCTCCTCAATCCAGCAGAGCAGGTCAGCCACCAGCTGCTCGTATTGAGCCTGCAGTGCCTCCGTCTCCTGCAGCTGCAGCAGGATCTGGTGGAGGGCAGAGCACTGGTTAGGCTACACTTGAGGTGGGCCTCAGAGTGAAAGCCCCACCACCAAGTGCTAAGTGCCAGCCCAAGTTGTCCCCATAGGATGACATTTCTTCTCTTGGCTGAGGCTACACTAAAACATCTCCCCTCCCACCCTGCAGAGGGGCAGGGGCATTATACACACAGACCCAAGAGACTACAGCACTCTGTCCACAACTGGGCTGAGAGCACGTCTTGCCTTCCTCCACCTAATTTTGCCCCTTCGACCTCATCTGCAGGTTGAGGCCCTATAGGTTGTTCTTCTTGCCTTTTCTTTCCTGTGCCCCACTCCCTAAATCAGTTTATAGTTTTTGACTCTAAGGACTATAAGACACTAACCCTGAGGACAGCCCTTCCAGGTCTCAGCTTCTGCCCTAGCATTTACGGTATAGCCCCCTAAAAGCATGGACTCAGTGTAGTCCCTGCTCAAAAGAGCCTCTTCTATGCATGTCCTTTAAGACTTGGCTCTGTAAGCCTTTTAATCCTATTACAAGTTTAACAGTTTTTGAGGGCAGTGGAGGCGGAAGTCCAGAAATAGTCACTGCTCTCCTGGCTTCTCATGTGTGCCAGGCACCGTGCTAGGTACTTGACTAACTCTCCCGTGGATGCTCAGCCTTCTGTCATTCAGGAGTTGTCACCTCCGTGTCACAAATGGAGCACAGACAAGTGAGGCCATTTGGCCAAGGCCATGGAGCCAGGAAGGCATAGGGACAGCCAGTCAGACAGACCTGCCTCCCTTTACTACCAACCTTAGCCAGCCGCCTCTGGGCTGTCTGCCCCTGCTGCAGGCGGGAGAAATAGTGGTAGTATTGAGACACATAGGTCATGATGGAGCATTCATCTGGATGCAGGGCTGCCACATCCTCAGGGTCCAGCAGCTGTGCGATACCTAGTTGCTGCTCAGCCACACGGAAGGCAAAGGAGAGGTTGTATAGAGGGCGGTCCAGACTCAGTGAGCCATAATCCAGCAGGTCCGGCCTGGACAGAGAACAGGAAGGATCCTCAGAAGAGCCTTTTGGCCTGCTTATGTTAGCTGTCCACTGTTATTGTGACTGTTTTCCTTTGATCGTTCTGTATTCCTCAGGCCGGAGTATAAGCAGGACTTGATAGGAGGGAGGGTTACTGTGGTAGAAAAGCTAGGACACAGATGGGGTGGGGCACCCCCAAAAGGCAGACACTAGCTAGAGAGAGGGCAAGGAAGAGATGAGGCACAGGAAGTAGAGAAGGCAGGGGTCAAAGGCAAAGCTCCTGACTCTGGCACTGAAGAGAAGGAGGAGAGGCAGGCCCAGAGCAGGGCTCAGACCTAGATAGCCTCTATCTGTGGCCCACTCGTCCTTCTCTTTCCAGGCCCAGGGTATAGAGGATGCATGGAGCAGCATTCCAGCCTGAGGCTCTGGGCTCAGAGGGTGGAGGCTCAGACTTTAAGATGCACCTGTGAGCATGGAGCAGGGCATTAAAGCCAAGCCCGTCACTCCAGCTTCGGGAGAAGTCAGTGATGTCCACATTGGTGTAGCTGGCTGTCTTCCGCTGACACCACACCAGCAGGGCTTCCTTGGCAGACAGCAAAGCTGCACTGGCCCCAAACTCCTCCTGGCAGGACAGGGCAATGTGGTTAATGTGTGAGGTGGCTGGAAGGTGCAAGAACCTTCAGGGACACCTGAGACACTCCATGAAAGGGACAGTAGGGGAAATCCAAAGGAGCCTCTTCCAATAGCAGCCTTTATCTCTAGACCAAATCTCCAAGCAGTCTTCCCAAGGGGTCTTGGATGGATCCTCCGGGCAAAGGAAAAGTCTGATTTTTAAAAAAACTATCTTTTGAGGGATGACAACTTGGTTAAGTGTAGTGTAAGTGGCCAGGACCATAGAAGAGCTACACATCATACATATTGTGCAGGCACAGCCATAGGGAGGTGCGGCCTGACTCCGGCTATGGGATCTTGTCTAAGTTGCAGGCCGATGGTCTAACACTCCAGGTTTAAAAAGGAGTTTCCTTTTCCCCGTAATGCCATTTTTAGTATACTATTCCGTTCCTTTCTCATGCTTTCCCACCGCGTGGCCCAATCTTGGTCTCAAGGCCCTTCCTCCTAATAAAGCTGATTCCTGAAGAGTAATTATGTGTCTGCTTCTCTCATTAACAACAGTCCTTCCGATGGGCTAGCCACAGAGCTAACTGACCTGAGGCCTCACAGGATAGAAGGTGGGGCTCCCTACAGTCCTGTCATTGGGCTCTGCAGGCCAGGCACGAGGCCTTGTCACTTCAGCACTCCGTGGCAGTTACTGTACACCTCATACATTGCTGAGGTGAAGTCTCTTTATATATTTCATTTCCTCTGTTGGTGCCAGTGAAGTGTGTAAGAGAAGCTAGGACACTGCTCAGGATCCCAGCTAATCAGGGAAATGGCCTGAGGTGGCTGCAGAGGGCCCCGGGAATCAAACTCATGTTGTTAGGTTTAGCGGTAAGTGTCTTTACCCACTGAACCAATTCATGGGCCTCCACATGGTGAGTTTTGAGAGGCCTTCTCGGTGTGTCAAACCCACAACTTTTAAAACTAAGGTCTTAATCTCCAGCTTGTCTTCCACAACTCACTGTCATGGAGCTGAGGGTGATTCATAGAACAGAAACTTGATAGATACAAGGACATTATGCTTATATTTTCTGAGCCAGGTGTAGGGCAAAAGGAGGGGTAGGAAAAGATGGAAACCATGAAAATACTGTTTGAGTGTTCTTCAAGATCCTGGAGACATTGCAAACCTCTGACCTAGGGTCCCTTTATATATCTGATTTCCTCTGGTGGCACATTATACTGTAGTGAAGGTGGCAGGGATTCAGTGCCAAATGACAGTTCAAGAATGGCAGTGGCAGATGGCCAGCCACTCTGCCTCTCACCAGTGAGTGACTAGTTCCCAGTCAGGATGAAGAATTCTAGCTCTTATTTCAGCACACAGCAACATCCTGGGTCCTTTGCCCCTGGATGAAGGGTGAATATTCATTCAATATTCATTCAACACCAAGGGATCATCAACATGGGTGGAACAGCTCTGCCGCAGGGGTCTGAGCTGAAGCCAGGGCTGGTCCAGGCCATGAGGCACTGAAGCTTGAGACATACCCTGTCCAAGGAGATGTGGGAAATCTGGAAACGCAGAATGATGATCCAGAGGAGTCCAAGGATGAGTGACTGGTCTCCATCCACAATGTTCTCTGGCCCAATGAAGGGTATGGGCACCTGTGGGCACAGTTGATTGGGCTAAGCCTACGGTCATGAGAAATCTGAAGTCCAGGAGGCTGTGAGGTGGGAGGGGCCTGGCTCTTCCAGCAGATGCCCCACAGGGAGAACAGGCAATGAACAATGGCAGGGGAAGGATGGCTGTGACATTGGTCCAAGCCTTCACTGGTGTTCTCTAAGCAGATAAACTAGACTGGGCCACTGGGGAGAGGACCTTCAAAGGTGGTGCAGAAAAATGAGAGTTCTCAAGTGAGCTACCTCAACACAGCCAATGTCTGCCTCCTCCTCCTCCTCCTCCTCCTCCTCTTCCTCCTCCTCCTCTTCTTCCTCTTCTTCCTCCTCCTCCTCCTCCTAGTGTTGCTGCATCTTAAGGGGGTGCCTGGGTCCCTGGATCACTCCCAAACCTCAGTCTCCAACCAGGGTCTCATCTCCAGCAGAACTATTAGAAGTTTAGAGTCCCCAGACCCACCCAGACAGGTTCTCCAGAGCCCAGGCCCAGACTCAGTAATCTGCATCTGAGCAAACAGTGGGTGGCTCGTGGGCCATCGGGGTAAAACCTCTGGTCTAGCACTTGTTCCTGAGGGGGAGGACTGGTTAATTCAGGATGCGTACACATCAGCCTCACAGGATCTGCCAGTTACTCTCTGGCTCCACCATCTCTACGGAATCATGTGACACCAAGGCTGAAGAATTCTGAGATCAAGACTTTTGAGGTTTGCTTAAGGCATCCCTGGTACCTGATTCTAACACAGGCAGGCCTTGGTGTCCTTGCATAGGCTGGCTGTCTCAGCTGTCTGAAAGTGTTATCCCCCGGATGTCTGCATGATTATTCCCCTGTCTTCCTTTAAGCCTCTAGTTTCGTGTCGATTTCTCAATGTGGCATACTCCATCCACCTTACTTAAAAAACTGCATTTTTTTCTCCCACCTAAACAAACCCATCTGCTCTCATCCATGTCATGGTGGGGGTGTTGGTTTTGTTCCCTAGTACATTCTCAGTTCTTAGCATATGCTATGTAATAATGATGAGCTGAATGAAGAAAGGAGAGGCGCCCTATAAAACCGGAACAGCTGGGAGCTGACTGCTCGCCCTGTGAGTGAGCAGAGCTTCAGTAGACATTGTCCCCTGTGGGTGTACTCTCTTGTACCCACTGGTCTCTGAAGAATGCACCCATGTACTTCCCTTTCTCTCTGGCCCTCTCATCCTTCTGCATTCACCTTAGCTTGGAGCAAAGGAGAGCTTGCTTGCTCCTTCCAGGCTCTCCAGAGTCAATCCTCCCAGCTTTGAGTTTAGCAATAATGACGACAGGAGGAAATCAGCCAATATTCAGGCCTTTGATGTTATGGCTGTTGGCATGTGTGTTTACATATGTGTATTTGTCTTGGGATACCACACATCCAGTTACCATGCTATGTTACTTAGGGTAGCCCCAACTTGAGATCTTCCTACCTCAGCTTCTTTAGTGCTGGGATTAGTGATGTTAACCACCACACTCAGCCTAGGAATTGCTCAATAACTGACTCTAGGAGAAATCAAAGTTGTGGTATAGCTGTGCTTGGGGTAACTCCCTTGTCCGGTGTTGATTACAGTTCTCTGAGACATCAAGAACATTGAGTGTCAGTGACCTGCTGTATAATATAGCTCATAATGAAGCTGGGTGTGGGGGTACATTCCTGAATTTCTCTGTGTCCAGCTTTATGAAATGAGAAGATTAAGGACACTCAGATTCTTTCAGCCAAGAACCCTGAGATTCTCCCTCATTAGACAGTGATGCTTTCAGTCCTGATAGAGTTATAGACTGTTCCTGCTGTGGCCAGCTGGTGGCTGTCTAAGCCAAGTGTACAGGGCAAGGAGAACTTGGCTACACCTCTAGAGCCTCAACTGCACATGTAGTATTCAGGCCCAGGTCTCCTGTTCTGCCTGAGGCCTAGGCTTCGTTTCATGACCTCTGGTTCCTGCTCACCCAGCTCTCCACCCAGAAACACCCTCCCAGAACAAACCTTGGCCCTGAGGAAGGCCAGGGCATGGCTGTTGTTCTCCAGGAAGTGCACACGCAGGCGGCCTGGACTGGGAGCCGGTAGGACCTCCCCAGAGATAAGTTCTAACAGCCGCAGTAGGTGGGCACCGTCAGCAAGCTCTTTGTACAGGTTCTGGATCCTGATGCCCACCTGAGGAGTGGATTGAGGCAGATGTGGGGGTCATCCCAGCATTTTCTGCACACCCCACTTTAAAGCCTGGGAGGGGTAGGCCAGAATAGCTATAGGTAGATGATTTCTCAGCAGACCCCCAGGTCACTGGCCAGAACTGAAAGTACTCAGACCTTACCCGTCCTAGTCGGAAGATGTTATTGATCCATTTGGTGAAGGTCTTCTTCTGCATGTGTGCATGCTGAGCCTGGAGCTTGCGGACATGGCCTATCTCATACTCAGAGTCCATGGCCAAACTTGAATTCATCAGGGCTGAGCATTGGGCCTGGGTCTCCTCGTTAGGGACACTGTAGCTAAGGAAGTGGAGGGTTGATGGGACAACTAGCCTTTGAGCCTATAGCTCTTTGAGGGTGAATGGCAACTGGACATTTCCCCATGTCTGGAGGTGGTGGAGGCATGGGGACTGGGAAGGACTGTGGATACTGGTGACCCTCCCTCCTGCCAGGAGTCTGAGGCTCTATCTTGCCACAGTGTCCCCATAAAGGACAGAAATTGTGGACTGGAACCTAAGCAAGTAAGAAGTCTGACTGGTAGCCTGCACTTGAATGACCCAGAGTCACCCCATCCCAACTTTCCAGATTCTACTACTGCTAGTCCTGTCACCACAGCCATTGGCCCCTGCTCCTTGGAAGGCAGAAGGAAGATAAAAGCTGCTCACCTTGGTGGTTGATGTCCAGGTCCTCATTAGGAGGCCCCACTGCTGGATGGAGATACAAGAAAGCAAAGCCTGGGGAGTGAGGGAGGCGACCAGAAAGGTCAGGCTGGAGTCACAGTATGGCCCTCCCCATTGCCAGCCTGTCAGCACACAGGCAGCATTGTCCTCCCACCTGCTACAGGGCGGGGCTGAGACAGGAGAGGGTGGCTCAAGAATGCTCTAGGCTCATTGCTAGAGGGCCTCCTCCTTCATCCTCTACCCTACCCCCTGGCTGCTTCCACTGCTGGCAGGTGAGGAGGGTCTTGGCTCTGATGGTCTTGTTGGCTCTAGTGAGAACATTGCAGGATGCTGAAATCTAATGAGAGGTATCCATGACCGGGACTTCTGGCTGAAAGCTGTGGACTCACTTTCTCTTCTGCACCCCATCCTAGGATGAAGACAGCTTCTCCCTAACTGGGAATAGCCATAGGGAGCTGTAGTGTCCTGGGCTTAGCTTCCCAGGTCTTGAATAGATCTGGGCCACAAGCTCAGTTTAGCTTGTATTAGCCCGTACTGAGCCTGGGTCTCAATACTTAGCTAAGTATTGAGAAGCCAGTGACAGAAGAATTGTGACAGAAAGTACCTGGGGAAGCAGCTCCTGCTCACAGCTCCCCTGTGAGCAACCACCCCCTTCCCACATGCTTCCTGCCAGTAGTCTTGCTCTCTTCTCATAAGCTATGGCCACAGGGACACTTCCCTGAGGTGCTGCAGCTCTCCCTCCCCACCCGAGTCAACAAAGACATTCACACACAACCATCTCAGAGACTGGGACCCAAGTTTAGTTAGTTGTAGGTAACCACCAGTGTGGGGCTGTGGAACCCGGGAGTGTTTGGCCACGCCCCCAGAAACCTGACATGAGATCTCCATGTAACGTAAGGCCCAGGTAGAGGGCGGGGGGGGGGGGGGAACAGGTCTCTGCCTCAAGATTTACCTAAAGGCCCTGGCCCCGCCCCTCTCCTGCTTATAACATAAGGAGACCTCTCTTGGCATTTTTTGGGAGAGCTTGTCACCATCTAAACTCATTGTGCTCACTCTTCCTGACTGTAGCACAAGCCCTCTGCATGGGCTTCCTGGTGCCCGAGACTACGGTCAGCTCTAAGGAAGATTCTAGAGGAAACTCTACAGTTTTCCAGGCCCAGTTCCTGTTTTGTAGGGGAAGCTTTGTCTTCAGCCATAGCATCCTAAAGGTGCCTAATCTCATCTACAAGGGAAAGCTTCATTGGAAAAGCCTTCTGGGTTTGAGGGACTCTGGCCTCAGCCCCTCCAGGTTTTTGAGGTCTGAGGTCAGACAGAACTGTACCATGCTTTGTTGGTAGGTTTAAGTAGAGGTGACTGTTTAGTTGAGGTGACTGTTTTAGTTGTTTGATGTGGGACTGGAGAGATAGCTCAGTGGTTAAGGGCACTGGCTGCTCTTCCAGAGGACCTGGGTTCAGTTTCCAACACCACAGGAGACTTAGAACCATCTGCAACTCCAGTTCCAGGGTATCTGGTGCCCTCTTCTGGCTTCTGCAGGCACCAGGTACTCAAGCAGTGCATATGCATACAGACAAGCACTTGTACACATAAAGTAAAATAAATCTTAAAGAAAATGTTGTTGGATGGGACTAGAGGGCTGCTGTCCTTCCCATGCTGTCCCCCTGGCTCAGCGGCAACTAAAGCCACTGCATATTGTACACGGAACAGCTCCTCTGCCTGTGAATGATTAAGCCCTTGGTGAAAAGGTCAATGGTCTTTGAAATCTTTGTCAAGAGACTGAACTTTCTGTTTGCACTGGACTGAATGATATAGATGGGTGTATTGGCCATAACTGAAAAACAGTCTAGCAGGAACAGGACTTCAGGTGCTGTTTGCTCCAGCATCCCAAACATTTGTCACTGCAGATCTGGGTTTCCTATGCCTTGCTCAATGCCTCCTCTCTGCCAGCCCAGTCTCCTCCTTTCAATACCTTTACAGCATTGTATCTATACGGCCCCTGCTTTACATTACAGTTCTAGAGAAGAGGGACTATGTGGGACATCTTCTTAAGTGCTGGGGTGGTGGCTGTTGAGAATTGAATTGGCAAACACATGTTGAACTGGTATCTGTGACGAGGGGGAATAAAATACTCCAATTGGCTTAAGCTAATCAGGATCCACCCTGGAAAGAGAAGAGGAGTCTATTCTACCCAAACCTCATGGCTCTGGGTAAGAATGAAAAAATAACATGTTATGCTAAATGACAATCCAGGCTGGCATCATCACAAGGTTACATGGGTGACAGAGGAAAAGCCCAATGCCTTCCAAAGGTGGTGTACACCTGAGAGGTGTAGAACCTTGAGGTGCATGAGATAGGTCTGCATCTCAAGAATGTGCTCAGAGTTGTCCCCCACCCCAGTAGTACCCACCCTCACAGTCCTTCAGCCTGGGCTTTCCACCTCTCGGGTTAAGTATGAGACCTCTTTCCCAGAGAGGATGTGGGAGGAATTGGGGTTACATAGGGATGGCATGGAGAAGAGGTATACCTCTCTGGTATACCTTTTAAAATGGACCCAAGGGACCACTTACCTCTTGAAAAGTACATAGCACATTACAAGAAGCCAGTGACAGTGGGATTGACACTTTTAAGTAAGATTTTAAAGGATAGAGGCATTGTGTGATTTACTGTTGCTAAATACTATGTACCTAATATGCTCTTGAATTGAGCCATGGATTACTTGAATAGACTCGGGGTACCTGTTCTGGGGTCCTGTCTGGGGTCCAGGTTGAAATGATGTTACCTGGCTATCTGCCTACCCTAAGAGCAGGGCTATGTCTACAAGCTCATTTCTTTTTCCTTGGGCTCAGCAGAGCTTCACTGGAAGGCAAGAACGGCAGGACACAGCGGAAGAGCTTCCTTCCCCTCACCTTCAGAGGGTCTCGTGATCCAATGCGTGGTAGTTACAAATAGGGTCTTTAGAACCAGGGAGAGCACCAAGTAAGTGAGTGGTCAGACTTACATACCTCTGTTTCTCTCAATATGTAAACATGCTGAGGTGGCTTCTTTGAAAACCAGGGTGATGTGTTATGGTGGGTTAGATATGAAATGTACTGAAGGCGTGGTCAGTAGAGAGGTGACTGTGTCAGAAGGGTTCTGAATTTATCCATGGACGAAGGCAAAGGGATAAGAAAGCAGGTCACTGAGGTGTGTCTTTAAAGACTGTCTTGGGTCTCTGCTTCTTGGCTTCCAAAAGGAAACAGCCTCCTCTGTAGGGTGTTTCTGCTGCTATGGTATTCTGCCTTACCTCCAGCTCACAGCTGACCTCTGCACTGACTTCTCTCAAGCTATTGGCCAGTTTAAACTTTCCCTCCTTGAAACTGAATTCTGTCAAGTATTTCTGTGACACAGAAAACCGACACGAGGGTGGGACAATACAGAGTGAATGTATGCATGAGGCCGGAGGAGTATTTGAACAGTCTAGGAACTGTGCATTGGTCCTGAGAAAACACAATCTTTCATTTTATCACCATTTCTGGTGCTTTTCCTTCTGGTAAAGTTATTATGATGAATAAGAGAATGTTACAAAAATTAGACCTACAATTTTTTTGTTGTTGTTCAAGAACATCACTGGGTCAGAGCAGGGTAAGGCATAGCTGCTAGGCTTCTCCCAGCAGAAGGTGGAGAGGAGTGGGGAGGGAGACCCCAGAAATCTTAGCCTGCTGTCCCTAGAAAGGTCTCCTCTGAGGTTCTGCATAATAGCCACTTGGTCATATCTACATTGAACATAGAGACACATTTTAGAGACAGATTCATGAGACATCCATTTGTGATTATATTTAGGTAGATATACGCCAACTGTGCAGAGAGAAAGCAGAAGACAACTGGGAGGAAAGGCAGGCCTCCCAGGCATCATCACTCTGTGGACACCAGGGTCCTCACACACAGAAATGCCCCATTTGGTTACAGCCCCAGGATCAAACATTCACCTATGTGTGTCCAATTAGTAAAAACACACTTTCAGAGTAAAGTGCACACCATGTTTCTCTTAAAACCATTTAGAAGGTAAGATAGGGAGTGTGAATGGTGGCATAAGTATTTCTGTTTTACACAGACTACCTTAAAATTACTACCTTAAAATTAACGATGTAGTTCAGGCTGGCTTCACACTCGTGGTAATCCTCCTACATCTGCCTCCCAAGTGCTGGGATAATAGGTGTAAGCTTTTAGCATTTTCTCTTAAATCACCGGTTCTGACTCTGAGGTTGCCAGACGCAGGTAATTAGGGGTTGGAGTATGTTTTTGTGAAGATTCAGGGGTAGTGTTCATTCATTCATTTCTGGCGCTGTTGGGGCTGGGCCATGTGGTCACTATGTGCTGTGATCCTACTTGGTAAGTGGTGATGACAGTGTTCCTCAGCTGTGCCACAGAACAGGGTATAGTAGGAGGCAGCCTCTGTGCCTGAATAAGTGGGTCAGAGAAATTCAAGGGCTTGGGAAAGAACACTGAAGAGCCAGAAGCAGCCCAATCCTGGCCCCAGACAGGCACTCCTGATGTGAAGTGCACAGCCTGGAAGAAAAGGTGTTACAGAGATTTCTGCAGAGAGGCTTCATCTTGTGAGGAAAACACAACTGGATACCATACAATGCATTTTTTTCTTTAAAAATCAAACGGCATCAATCACCAAGACACTGATCTCTTCCACTAATAGCTCAGGATGGGGCTGGTCTCTCTTTACCTGGGTCCGAAGGCTCTGGGACTCTACACAAATCAAAATATGGCTTTATTGAATTGAAATTCTGCCACCTACCAAAAAACCTTAGGGACATTCAGTGGTCAAAGGGAACACTTAGTGACAGATGGGGACTGTTTCTTTTCTTAAGTCTGATAAATTGACTGCTGCAAACTATTGGTGAAATGAAAAGAAAAGCTAATTCTCAGACTTCAGCATGATCTGAAGGTCTAGAGGTCTTGCCAGGGGCTGGCAGTTTGTAAATTCCAAATTCCTAACTGAATCCAGCTTTGCTGGGAGGGAGGCTTGGCAGCAGGCTCTGGGACAAGACAGGCTCTCCTGGCCTGGCTGCCTATTCTGATGAGGACTACAGATGGGCCCAGAGATATGGCACATCCTCTTTCAAACCTGGGTATTAGCCTTCTCTTTGGTGTCAGTCTATGGAGAGCAGAAACTCTCTGTTCTGTTCCTTTCCCCTCTAGATAGAGCAGGAAACACAGTAAGAAAAATAACTTAGGTCATTTGCTGCTTCTCATTGCCCTCTGAGGGACAGAGACATTCTCGGTGACTTATTGTCCAGCACAGCTCTGAAGACTCTAGTGAGTCCCTGGCTCATTCCCTGAGTCCTCAGAGTTTGCCAGTCTATGTCACACCTACATTCTTCTTTGGATAACTTTTTTCTTACTCTTTTATCTCCATATCTATATACTGCTCTTCTTAATATTTTGATAGAAACTTAGGGATTTTAGAGGTATAAGGACCTCATCTAGTGCCCAGGATCTGCCCTCCCTGCCCTACATATGAGGAAACTGAGTCACGGAAAGGACGGAACCTTGGCCAAGGACATTCAGCGAGTCAGTGGCAGAGCAGACTTCAGGCCCAGGTTCCACCCCTCCCACCCCAGCTGTGTACCCTCAGTCAGCCTTTGACAGGGACTTCCTGTGAGAGGGAGGCACAAGGTGTGGGGGCAGGCTGTTCGGGAGCTCATAGCCATCCAACTTGATCTTGATGAGGTGCTTGGCCAGTGCAAACTCCTCCTCATCCAGCATGCCGTCGCAGTCACAGTCGGCCAGCTTCCAGATCTTGCCCAAGACACTGTTGGGCAGCTTGGAGGTCACCATTTCCTTCTTGGCATTGACACCTGATATCTTGCCATTGATAGGTGACAGTGTATAGAAGAGTTCGTCATACACAGGCTTGTCCTTAGCCACGACCCACTCTTCCTCATCAGCACCCTCCTTGGCCCCCTCCCCATAGCCCTGGTTGAAGGGCCCCTCTGTGGTGCCATCAAAGGCACCACCCTGCACCATTTGTGTGGGCATGTTCATCTCCTCCTGGCTGATGAGGCTCATCAGGGATGAGATCTTGTTGGTCAGCATGTTGTCCACAGCCTCGATCAGTTTGGGCTTCAGTGAGTGGAACTTGGTGAAGTCATAGTTCTCAAGCTGTTCCTACAGGAGGGGAAACCAGATCTGGTGTTATGTTCTCTGCAGGAGGCCCTGGAGGGAATGGGGTCTCCCTTAAAATGGACATCCTACCACACCCTGTGCCACTGAGAAGACCTCTTGGCTGGGACACCTGTGTCCAAGCTCACCAGACGCAAGAGGGGCTTAGAACAAAAACAAGCTTCAGGGTTGAGATGTGGCTTTGTGTGGAGTAGCTGCTGTCTCTGTGGCTGCAGGAGTCACAGTATCCTCCTATGACTGTGAAAAAACCCTCTCACCTGCCCTTAATGCCTTGGAGAATTCGTTTGCTCTCAGAAAAGTTCTGCCACACACATCAGTTACTTCCACAACAGTCCAGAGAGTGAAAAGAACAGCATTATAACCTTCTTTTATAATCACGGACTATCCAGGTGAATAAAGACTAGAGGCCATGTCTGGTCTTTACTATGCTTAGTTAGAAACTTAGGGACTATATTTAGAAAAAATTAAAAACAAACTCCAAAAAACTATCATTTGAGAGTTTTGAGCTGGCTGTGTGTGGTTCCAGATCTTATAATTCCAGCACTCAGAAAGCAGAGTCTGTAGAGTTGCTGCAAGCTTGAGGCTTCCCTGGTCTATATAGCAACACCCTGTCCCAACTGCTCTGGTTTCTGATTGAAAAGAACTTTGTTTTTTGATTATTTGAAAATAACAATGCTTGGGGCACATGCTCCTTGCTTTAACCTCTTAGGAATGAACCTAGAAGGCTCCAGAACTGGAAACCTGTAGAAAAACCCCACAGAGAATGGTCTACAGAAGCTTCTTCAAGAGGATACCTGTCAGGGCTGTGGGGATCTTGTGGCTATAGACTAATCAGTTATTTCACAAGGATGGACAAATGAGCACAAGTTGAGACCTAGGCAGCAGGCTGGCATCACAGCCAGGTCACAATAGGTCTCCACCTCATCTCCTGGGAGAAGTGCCCTGTCAGCAGAGCACAGGCTCTAGAGAGGGCCAAGAAACTCAGTCACTGTCCTTCCAGGGTGGAGCCAGCTTCCCAGCAGGAGGGTCACAGAGGCTCTCTGGGTAGTGCTAGAAAGCCCGTGCTACTTAGTTTCTCTTTACTTTCTCATACACTCATACTTGTATCACCCACCACCCACCTACCCACCCACCGCTATCCACCCATGGGGTACCCACCCCTTATCACTGTCACATCGACTGATATGCATCCGACACTCTCCTAGGCCCAGGGATAGGCTCTGCTTTAAAGGAGCCTTGGTCACACAAGAGGAAGACATCAGCTATGCATGTTCAGTGTCTACTTTCAAAAGAGACTTGTGCAAAAAGGCTAACATGAAATACAGTGTCAGCAGGAAGGGAAAATGGAGTAATCAGAAGGGAGAAGGGACATCACACAGGTGTCTGAAGTTAAGAAAAGCTGTTTTCTTCAAACACATATGAACTCAGAATTCTGGGCTCCTCAGATACCTGGGGAAGACCTCATTTATTCACTGCTGTGACAGATGGAACTGTAGTTTTGCTTTCTCTGGCCTTGAACAGGGAGAACTACTTAGGGCTTAACATCAGCAGACTTAAAGATCTAGTGAAAAATGGTCTTCCTAGTAAATGCAGAAGCATTGAGAGAGAGAGTGTGAATGTGTCTCGTGTGCGTGTGCGTGTGCGTGTGCGTGTGTAGGTGCAGGCCTGTGTAGAGGCCAGAGGCAGCTGTCAGGCATGTTCTCTCAGTTGATCTTCTCTGGTAGGAGAACAAAAATTGTGATCTCCAGGGTGTGTGGCAGGGCAGGAGTTCTGCATTCACATTTGGAAGGAGAGCCCCAGCACTTAGACTGCAGAGGGGACAGAAAAGCTGACAACCTATTGTGTCTTCAGAATGGACCTCCCAACACACTTGCAAGCAGCCAGCATTGTGCCATTGAACCTGTTGTGATAAAACCTAGTAGTCTGCACCTGGCCGAGCCCTAGAGCAGACAGGCCTGCTATCTACAGTGAGTTCTGATTTCTAGATCTTGCATGCACACTGGCTGATCAGAGCCACAGGATCTAATAACCTCCACCCTCAGCACCAAACAGTGCTCTAGCACTCAGGCCTTCTGCTGACAGTGCCACAGCGAGGGCACAAAGGGGCCAGCCGCGGAGGAGGGACACAGGCCTTCCTACATACACATTCCAATGCTGCTGGGTAAGTAGTCCGAATTCCCCTGGGTACAGGGACACCTACCCTATCCTTGGGGACTGAGTCTCAGCCCTGAGCACACAGGGTACCTGTGTCTGGCAAACAGACATATGGAGATTACGTCTGCCACACTGTCTGCCAGCCTGCAGAGGACAGAAATTCTAGTGGCAGCTGTATGAAGAAACAAAGGGCAAACAGCCACAATTTTGCAGGACTGACTAGAAAGCAGCAGCTATGTCTACCCAGAAAGCACACAGGACATTAACTGTACACTCTGGTCCCTGTGGTCCTTACAGACCTGAGCAGAGGTGTGGAGAACGAGCTGCTGTCCTCTGCTGCTCAGGCATTGCAACTCACCTACACAGGGGTCAAATTCTTCAGGCCAACTGAGTGAGCAGTAACTGCATGGTGTTTCTAGTGTCCTCAAGTGGCAGGACAGTCATTGTGTAATAAGCCAGATTCCCTTAAGACAGGACACAGGGCAGACACAGGCAGCCTGTCCTGGCACCGAGGGAACCAAAACACACACTTGATTCAGTGTAACAGATGTGAGAGCCCTGACCAGGGGTGTTCCTCCTTCCGTTCCGTTCCGTTCCGTTCCGTTCCGTTCCGTCCCGTCCCCTCCCCTCCCCTCCCCTCCCCTCCCCTCCCCTCCCCTCCCCCTCCCCCCTCCCCTCTCCCCCCCCCCGCCCCCCAGCTGTCCTGTTCTGTCCTGTCCTGGAACTTGCTCTGTAGATCAGGTACTGGAATCCAACACACAGAGAAAGGTGTGCGACACCACTGCCCAGGAGAGCATAGACCTAAAACCAGCTGTGCCGAACCCTCTTCATGGCCCTGATGTCTACCCAGTTCCTGTTATCTCCAAACTTTAGCCTCTGCCTCTGTCCCCACACAGCTGGTGTCAGCTGAACGCCTGTTGCTGAGGATGGCAGATCCTCCACAGCCTCAGGGACAGGAGCATGTCAGCATGTAGTGACTGAGCCCCTACTGCATCCTAGAGCAGCAGCTCTCAGCCTGCGTGTCTGTCCCTTTGGATAGCCTGTATGTATATAAGATAGTTACATTACAATTTGCAACAGTAGCAAAATTACAGTTAATGAGTTAGCAACAAAATAATTTATGGTTGGAGTCACCACAAGAAGAAGAACAGTATTAAAGGGTTGTAGCATTAGGAAGGTTGAGAAGCACTGTTCTAAATGAAGGGGAGGCAGAGTGAGCATGACACAGTTACTGAACTCATGGAGTGACAGCCTTACGAAGATACACTGAGTCACAGACATAAAGTCAGTAATTACACTGAAGCTCACAGCATTTTCATGTTACAGCAAGGGGTGTGTCACTGGGACAAAGACTAAATTATTCTTGTCTTAAATGGCTGCCCACTGATATATTCCAGGGACTAGAACAATTCTTGGCTCAGTAATTAACATTTCCTGGATGAATAACGAAATGAATGCAAATGAACACAGCCTCTCTCAGGCTGCGATTCCCAGTTCTGTCTCAAGGCACTCCGCTCACCGAAGATGCTAAGTGTGGCTCCTGACCACGGGGATTATCAGCGTAGGGTTACACTCTCCAGCTGAATGAGCTGTTCCTAAAACTCTGCTTTCCCTAACTCCTTCCTTCCCCAGGGATTGTCCATTGTCCCAGCTCTGGGAGACCTGAGTGTCCTCTGACCCAGATGGGCCCGGATTAATTTTCACAAATAGACATAGGTTCAGTCTGTTTCTGTTATGGGAACCCACCTAGGGGCCACAGGCCCGAGGGGCTGAGTGGAGCTTCAGGGTCTTAGAGCAGTCACTCTGAGGTCTGGGCGGTGTAATAACACTAATGAGCACATACATGCTGTACTATGACATATGGTGGGTATTTCTTCATAATGTTCATATAAGTCAAGTTCCCTTCCAACCTGAAGTTCCTTATGAAGCGTATGAGGGAACAGCTGTTCTGCAGTTGGGCCATGGAGTGAAGGGCATAACCTAAGGTGTAAAACAAAGTCTCAGCTGGGCAGTAGGGGCACACACCTTTAATTTTAGCACTAATAGGCAGAGGCAGGTAGTTCTCTGTGAGTTCCAAGCCAGCCAAGACTACAAAGAATAACCCTGTCTCTAAGAAAAAAAAGTTGTCTCTGGGAAACAACACTAACCACCAGTCCTCAAGTTAGTTATCCTGTGGCCAGAAAAAAAGAAATTCGTCTTCTGAACAGAACACCCATTTTATTGCTAGAAAGAAAAAAAATATCTCTGTATTTGTCATAAAACAAATTCCCTCCTACTTGGTTGCCCAGTTCAGCCTTGATATGAGGGCTTCTGCCTTATTACATCGTGTTATGTTGTGTTCAGTCGGTAGCCTGGGAGGCCTGACGTTTTCTGAGAATAAATGGAAGAGTAGTGGATGGGCGGAGGGGGGAGTTGTGGAGGGGGAGGGGATTGGAAGGAGGGAGGGGAGGCTGTGGATGTATTGTATAAGAATAAATGTAAAAACTCAACCATTTGACTAGATTCTGCGACCAGAAGCACTCGACTTGACTGCAGACATAACAAGCTGCCAGCTCACCAGAACAGTGAGTCTCACCCCTCTCCCCTGCACTAGCCATGTCAGCATTTCATTTATTACAGCTGACCTCACCTCTGTTCCGCCCACTCCCTTCTTCCTCATCTCCCTCGGAGGCCAGTGGGGAAGTGAGTCCCAACCGCAGCGATGCACCCACTTTAGCTACTCTGTGTCGTGGAGTGAGTCACAACACTTGGTCTCAGGGGAAAACCTGTATTTAGTTTACCTAGTAGTTTCTTAAAAATTGAGACCAAGTTTGAAAGGTGATTTACATACAAATCTAGACTTTAGCTTCTTCTGACTCTGGGTTCATATTCCCATAACACAGTGACTCCTGGGCTAGACAGCGCAACCCCACATAGGCATGCCATGCATTCTTCAAGCTTCCTTGACCCACAGGGTCCCAGCAAGCTCCCACTCTACAACTGTGGAATCATTCTCCTTGTAGACAAAACTTTGGGACTGTCTACTGGATACGAGGAGACAGAGATGACACGTCTGTACCCCTCCTCCTGTTGCTATACAGCTGGTGGCTGTGGGCATGAGAGTTCATGTCGTGTGCTTTACAGAGAGGACTGCAGGCCTGTGCAGATGTAACCAGCTAGGCAATGTGACAAGGAATCGTAGTTCCTACAACCTCCTCATGACACTGTTATGGGTCTCCCAGTACCTGCATGGCCTTGACCTCAGGGAAGTCCCCTGCAGAAATCTGGTATTCTCGTTGCAGCTGAACATAGATTTCTGGAAGCCTGAAGATAAGTTCTCGCTTCTTATTTTCTTTTCCAAACATATTTGGCATCTCCTTCTTCAGGTAGCTGATGATGTAGGCATGGACCTGAGGGAATGTCAGGTGAGCACATCACACTTTAGAGAAGAGACAAATGAGACCCCAGTCCATGCCGAACTCTGGTCCTCAACCACAAGAGAAGGTGAGGAGCCAGGAGCCAGGCAGCCTAAGGGCAGCTAGAATGTACTTCCAGAGTTCCAGAGAGTGGCCTGGACTAGGTAATCTCAGAGCTGGACTTAAGGATAAGCCAGATCTGCTGAGACTACACAGGGAGCATGAGCAGAGAGAACCCCAATGTCCAAGGCTGGGTAAGGGGGAAGGCCCAGAACGACACAGGGAGGCAGGATGTGATAGATAAGGGATATGAGATGACATCTGAGTTGGACTCTGTGAAGAACAGTTAGACACCGTGAGTACAGCAGGAGAGAGGGCTAACGAGCTGGGTGTATATTTGGGGTGGGATGCACATGGTTCAACGCTGGGAGAGGTGGGCTGCACCCAGACCTTGCTCAGCAGGTATCAGGAGCCACTGGAGGAGGCACAGTGAGGCTTTGCTGACCTAATGCGTGCATGAATGATGGTTCTCCAGGGCCAGAGAAGCCAGAATAATGGTGAACTGTGTGACACTTGGCTGAGAACCAAGTGAGGTAAAGCTGCACAGAGACTGTCCTAGAGATTGTGTCTCCAAGTTTACTCCCAAGAAAGGGCAGCTGGCTGTACCCTCGTGTGTGGTGGTTCTGGTGTCTGGGCAGGAAGTGAGTAGACTCTAGCAGGACCGACCTCCACTGTGACTAACCAGAAAATGTAGAGAAAGTTGCACCTGTGGCCTGCAGGCACTAGGAAGTTAAAGAGGAGCCTGAGAGTGGTTCATGTACACAGGAACAGTGCCCTGTGAACCAGAGAGTAAGAATGATCACTGGGCATGCCTCAGCGGGCAGACTGCTGACATCTTCACAAGTGGCGCTAAGTGATCTCTGTATGAGAGCAGCTGCCTGTGACCAGGCTGGATGAAAAGCTCTCTCTGGGGAGGAAACCCAGATACATGAAAGGGAAGGTCCCCAACCCTCTAAGAGCCAGCCATCTCCCCGGCAGGGGACTGTTTGGCCTGTCACACCCTTCCCTTGTGTTCCCATTATTCCACTTACTTCCAACTTCAGCTCAGTAAGTTGTGTTCATTGCAAAAGTTTTCCTTACAGAATTTCAAATTTACAGAGTAATTCAGAAGCCAAATAAATAACTAAGATAGGAAAGGATAAAATAAATAACTAAGATAG